CCTTTATCTAGTAATTTCCAACATAATGGGGCCTAGGATGGGGTAAGTTCCCTTCTAAGATGAAGGACACTAATTCATATAGACGTTTTAAGATCAGTACTGTAGATCACTGTAATGTCTGTCTCTTTCACCAGACTGCCTTGTATATTAAACCAAGTGTAACAGATAGCTGTCTGAGACTACTGACTTTCATTTTATATACGTAAAAAGCAGAAATAGATAATATGTATCTAAACAGACTTCTAACTACACTTTACGTATCTAAAGTCAATGTTGGCAGCCATGGACAGCTAAATGAATGTGAATTAATATTCACATTCCCATAATTCCTGGTGATAATTTACTCTTCGAAAGCACCATAATCATTGAAAGGTGGTCTTGGTAAGATGTCTCTCATGATAACATTAATATTTGCTCTGGCTGTTTGTGTATAAATATATATTTAGTTTATAAGAACAGTAAGGCAGAATGAGATGTCATAAGACAGTTCTGTTATGTTGTGATTAGACAAAAGAAGATATTAACTGTATTAACATTTTCAAGTTCAGATTACTTATAACTAAGCGACTAAAGATTTATTCATTGAGTATGTCCCAGGAATAAACCATCTTTATATTTCCAATATTTTCTAATTTGCATGAAAGTCATGACTGAAGAGAATCATGACAGTAAGTATAGGAATATAAAGGTCAATAAATATTATATGTTATTTATATTAAAGTGAATCCTTTTGGTTTAGTGCTTTCTTGATTAAATATTGCTTCTGTGGCACAAGATACTGTACATAAGATATTTTTTCGTTGTATTAATAAGTAAGTATTAATAATACTGGTACTTTTCCAATTAATTTCTGCAATTCAGAGAGTTTACAAGTTTGTTTTGCTCTGTATTTAAGTTTCTTTTGTGCGATTATTGTTTATATTGTGGATCTTGCTGCCTTCTGTAAACAGAACAGGACGGATATCGACAGTCACTCAATCAGCAGAAGAATGAGCTTCTCTGTTTAAAACAACTGAATTCATTTTTCCTTCCTTTTCTTCCGTTTGCTGCACCTTAAATGACCGGTTAAAAATATTACAGTAGTGCCTTTACTCTAGCCCACTGACTCTGCATCCACATCGCAACGTTTGGCTTCACGTTTTGGTTAATATTTTCTACATAACATTGAAAGATCTGAATTAAACATAGTATGAGAATTTGGAACACTTTGTTTTCTTTTAGCTCTTGTGCTTTTTCTGCTTTTTAAAATATCTTGCTCTCTGGCAATTTATATCCAGTGATACACATTGAGTTTCACATACTGTAGCTGCTTAAGAGTTTCTTATCATAGTTACCAAAACCTGACATTTCCCAGGGTATATTATTTTAATTTTCTTTGGAAATGGGAAATGTTCTGTAGACAAAACAAAACACCAGAGTGATTTGTTATTCATTACTAAATTATTCAGAGTAGCATTCAATGCTTCACAGGATACTAATACTATAGTTAAACTAGTCATCTACAACTACATATTTGCACCACAGTAGACACCTGACAGATAAAACCTTTGAATGAGAAAATGTTTCCACTTAATCTAGATCCCCCCATCACATGCCAACGTGTAAGTGTTTTTCTGAATATTTTTTTATCAATCTTAATAAAATTAAAAAAGAAGATGTATATATGCTTTAAAGTTTTAAAATTTTACAATATAATGATATTGTTAGGTTAACCGTAAAATATAGACAATTACATAAATTCTGTAGCAGTAGATCACAAAGAGATGGGGTGTTCTCATAGTCTGCAGTAAACAGTTAACATTTACATTCTCCAGGGTAGATGATTAACTTCTTTTAGTCTTCTTCAGTATCAGTTAAGTCTATAACTGTAGTGGAATGTTTATTTTACCATTATTAACTTAAACAACTGTATATTTGAACTTTTACGTGGATATTTCCTATTATGTTGAATAATGTAAGGTATTTTAAATAAAAAATGCGCCAGGGACAGAATGGCTCCCTCTTAGGAGACTGTATGAGAATTACTGTACCAGATGTACTAGAGCACATTGACCATACACTATTGTCTGTGGTATGTGGTGTAGATTTTCCACCCTGTACTGTTCAAAATTAAAGTCCTGAGCTGGAATCATGTCAGATATCCTATTGCTATTAAATATGTATTTCTCATCTTTTTGCAGTTTCTATTTGGTCATTAAATATATATTTCTAATCCTTTTGGAGTTTCTATTTTCAGTGGAATAATTGAAATTCTTTAATTCTTTCACTGCACTTATTTAATTGATTTAGTTCTTAATGTTTTATGGAACCACAGTCCTGTGAAGCTGAGAAGGAACTGTTTCTATTCTTCTGCTGTCAGTGTAACTACTGTAGCACTCCTTCTGTCATCCCATCTTCCCATTTCTTTCCTGCTCCTTTTCCCTGACGAAATGGTGTAGATTTGACAAGCCTTGCCAGAAAATAGTTCACAAAAGCAGTTCCCCTAGAGGAAATAAGATAAGATTCTGGGGTTCAGCCATGTCTTACATTATATGTGGGGAGGACTGACTAGGCTACTTTTAATGATATTGTTGGTGGAACCTTTGGCAGAATCCAGTGCAAAAACATGTCGTAATTGTGATTAGTTTGCCAAAACCAAAGTCTTTTTTTCAGCTACCATTAATAAGAAGGTTTCCTTTTTGGCTTGTCTGGGTCAAGCAGCTTAATCTGTGTCTGCTGAACATTGGTAGAGGCCTGTTGTTCAGTCTGTAAATCTCTGTGGTGCTGAAGAAAAGAAGTTAACTTTTAAAGGGCTTACAGTAAATCTCCACAAAATATGTAAAAAGAGATATTATAAAAGCAAACAAATTCTATAGGTTCTAGTACCCTTTTTTTCATTCTTTTCATAACTACATGCACTTACACCAAAGCTCAGATTGTTGTCATGCTGATTTTGTTAGTCTTAAGAGTCCCATGATGACATGGATGATTTAAACAAAGACAAGTGTCTCTCCAGACCATAGGCTAACCAGAGAAAGCTGGGTGTTGGGGAGCATTTAATGATATAAAATTGAAAATCCTTGAAGCAGTATTTTTTATTAGAAGCCTTGTACAGTACATTCATGTTTGGTTCTGTACTCATGTACTCACAATTTCACAGTTAAAAAAATAAACAAACCATAAACACTATGTAAGGTAAGAGGTCTTGTAAAGCTTTCAGCTAAACATATTGCACTCTGAAGTTTTGACAATAAAAAATAGCTGAAAGACTACAATTTAGTTTCTAAATGTCCTCTGTTATAAGCTATGGAATCCAGTAGGGTAGTTTTAGAGGACCAAACAGAAGACCGTGGTTTAGCTGGCAGTGTTTCTTTAAAAATAAGATCTAAATTTTGCACAAAATAAAGTGTAACCCTCACTGTTGTAGTAACAGTGGAGTTGTACAGCTAGCTTCCTGCACCCTGGCTGTAGGTCTTTCTAATTATGCAGTTCTTAGGAGCAGTAACATGCAAATGTATAGTAGATAAATATTGCTTGCTTGATAGACATTCTCAAAAATGTGTCAGTAATTGAGGAAGAAAGAAGAATATGATGGTGATAGGAAAAAAATGAAAAAAAGTTCCTAGAAAACTGGATTTGATTTGAGTGTTTGTCACTACTTCAGTTGGCAGTAGCTTTTCTCTCTGGCTGTTGCTGGCAACAGCTCTTGTACATATGTAGGTTTGGATCAGATCTGTTTTTACAGTAATTTCTCTAGTAGGCCTCAGACAAAAGAAACAGCTAACAAGTAACAGGTGAAGTTTTGGTAAGTTGCAAGCAGCTTTTAAATTTGTAAAAAGGTAAAAGAATCCTATTGTATCTTAATTGAATGTTATGATCTTTTGAATTGGTTAGAAATCTGAGATACTATTATCGAGTAGTGTTACTGATTAATCTTAAATATAAATGAATATTGCAAAATGAGTTGCAGATTGAAATTGTATGTAAAAGCTACATAATTCTCAAAATGTTACTAAATATATGTAAATGAAATCGTAATAACACTGTACAGATCACAGCTTTGTCATAAATAATTACTTTTAGAGAGCATGAGGGTTATATTTATTCACATCTCAATATTCATACAATATTCCTTTGTCTCAAATTCACCAAATACACCAAAAACATTCTGCTGTTTGGAAGTATAGATGTACTGTAAGCCTCAGAACTGTATAGAGGCCCCTGAAAGTTTACTGTTTCCCTAAGGAATAAAAGACACAAAACACAAGGAAGATATTAAGTAGTGGCAGTATCATCATGGGTAAAGTCAGAGAGCTCCTCGGAGACTGCAAGCAAATGGAGATTTACCTTTGCAAGTTGGAGGATAGTTATAAAAGAGTCCACAAAAAAGTTGAATCTGCTACATTACACTGTAACTGTTTGACAACTGGCTTTGAAACAATTGGTTCAGGACGTAACCATACGTCACCATATAGGACACCATATATCCAAAGGCAACAAAGTAGCATATTCAAGATACAAAGTGTCAAAAAAACATCATATGATGTTGCCTGCATGAATGTGGTTTTTATGGCTGGAGAAAGAAACCCATCTGAGGGAAAACCACAAAATCAGTTGGCTATATTATCAGAACCATATCTTATGGTCAGATAATACAAAAATTGCATTTTTGATATGTTCATCAAGTCATCAAATTAAAAAAAAAGATTCAAAAATAAGCCATTCAGTTTTGATCTTTTTTCCCTAATCTTCAGTTATCGATGAGTTCGGAGGTGATTGAAATCATATAAACAAAAATTAACAACGCAAATGTATACTGTAGATGGGAAAGCAGCTAAAACGTTCTTAGTTTTGAAAGTGCTTTTGTTGCATTGAGTATTTTCAGAACTGCTTTACTGCAGAGATAATTTATATACCTTATTTTTATGCAAACATTCCTTACTTTTTTCTTTATTATTTCCAATGCCTTTGCAGTAGTGCCACACAGATTGTCATGGCTTCATATTGCTTCTGTCTTTCAGCCCCCAGACAATGGGCCGCCACCATTACCCAGCTCCTCCCTCCCGGAGGGTTATTATGAAGAAGCTGTTCCTCTAAGCCCTGGGAAAGCCCCTGAATACATCACCTCTCGTGAGTGCCAGCTGCACTGAAACACATGATATGCTAACCATGTTTATTCAGTGGGCTGCACATTGCTAGAGAATATGCTATTTTAAACCACCTTTTTGTTTTTGTGTAATATTATCGCTCTGATTGCATTTTCTGTGGAATATGGAAGCAGAAAAGCAGTTTTTGGTCTGACAAAATATAGATATTTTTTACTAGTACTTAGGAAGTAAAAAGGGCTTAATATTTTAGTATACTATACATTCCGTGAAGTGGGTAAAAAATAATATAGATTGCATAAAATGGAAAATTAAGGACTAATGTAATTGTATTGTTTATTATGAGCAGAACATACATACTTTAAGACAATAATGAAAGTGCAGTCTTTAAATAATGAAACTGAGCTTTCTTTCAAAACTAATTTACCATCCTTGGCTGTGTGAAAATACAAACAATATTTTATATAGGCAAACTGTTGTTCGTTTGTTAATAATAGTCGTTGTGTTCTTCTTCCCTTTTCAAGATTATGACTCGGACGCTATGAGTAGCTCATACGAGTCGTATGATGAGGAAGAGGAGGATGGGAAGGGGCAGAAGATGAGGCACCAGTGGCCATCAGAGGAGGCCTCCATGGACCTGGTCAAAGATGCTCGCATCTGTGCCTTCCTGTTGCGCAAGAAGCGCTTTGGACAGTGGACCAAGCTGCTCTGTCTCATCAAAGACAACAAGCTACTGGTATGACGTTCTAACTGGCATAAAATGTAGGCTGCTGTGGGCTCACAGGCCTCCATGCGTTATATAGCATAACGTTACACCACTCAAATGCTCATGTATCTGCCAGGGGAACCTGTCTCTGCTCCTTCCTGTCTACCCAATACTGCAGGGACTTTAAAATGAAGATGGAATGTCTGCTCCAGAGAGTTATTGTACATACAGTATATAAAAATTCATTTAAGTGAACTAGACTCGTAAGCTAGGTAGTAAGCTGGCTGCGTTTCAGATGATACCCAAACAATCACAATAGAAGCAGGAAATGACGTTCAGAAAGATTTGGATTAATTCAATTGTCTACATTACATGTCATCTGCTAGGTGTTTGCCCAGGCTTGAATTTATCTAAATCTTTCTGAATGTCATTTCCTGCTTCTATTTTGATTGCTTGGGTATCATCTGAAACTCACCTACTGTAGCTTACTACCTGAGCTAGAGATTAGTTCACTTAAATCACCACTAAATTATATATACAGTACAAGAAACTTTGTTTATTATTCCACCCTTTTCTGAGTGTAATTATTGTCATATTTCCCGAGTGCAACCTGTAATATTACTATGGACATATAACCATGTTTTGTTCTTGAATGCACAGCGTGAATCAATTTCCACTCACAGTGAGAAAACGACAGATGTGCCTGCTGTAGAAATTATTAGATATGGTCTTCAGGGACTCTTGCTTCTGCTTTTTCCAAGAACAAATGAGAGCAGGCTGTTCAAACTCCTCTTTATCTAAATCCCATCCCTTGATTTCTACACTTATAACTGGATTCCCTAATATTTTGTTTGCCATATTTATTGCTCCCCTACCTTGTCTGGAAGACATGACTCCTATCTAATAGGTAGCTGGTTGGGGTGGCGCAGCGGTTACATTGCTGCCTCGGAGTACTGGGGAACCGGGTTCAATTCTTTATCTGGGGTGCGTAGACTTTGTTTGGTCTCTCGTGTTCATATGGGTTTGCTCCAGTTTACTCCTACAGTCCAAAGACATAGTATGGCTTCTGGGAAAATTGGCCCTGGTGTAAGTGTTTGCCCTACGATTGACTGTTATGCCATCCGGGTTGCATTTTGCCGTATGCTTGTTGCTTACTGGGATAGGCTTCGGCTCCCCCAAAGTGGTTAGAAAATTGATGCATTGCTGTAAGCTGCTGATAAGTACTCAATTTAAGCTCACTTTTCCCCCATTTGAAATCTACACTTAAGTTTTTGCTACCTGCATATAATACTCTGAACTACATGTCATCTGCTAGTTGTTTGCCCAGGCTTGAATTTATCTAAATCTGTCTGAACGTCATTTGCTAGTTCACTTAATTGAATTTATTTTTTATTATTATTGTTAACAGTGCTATAAATCTTCGAAAGACCAAACTCCACAAATGGAGCTCGTTCTCACAGGGTGCAGCATCACTCACATCCCCAAAGATGGCAAGAAGAAGAAGCACGAGCTGAAAATCACCCACCAAGGAGCAGACGCACTGGTTCTGGCAGTACAGAGCAAGGAGCAGGCAGAGGAGTGGCTGAAGGTACAGTACAGTGACTTGACCTCATCGTTTTCAAGGTTTCGCCATGGAAACGGAAGGGCTACACTCAGTGTGACAGTTATTAACCTGCCCTCTAACACTTAATTGAAAGACAGATTTAAACTAATATACAATCTTAAACTATTTCTTTAGGGTCATGGCTGTGTCAATACATAGAAGACATGTTACAAGTTTAGAATTTATTTCCATTTATACACTGGGTGGAATTCTGTGCAGCATATTACCTGCTGGTCCCTTTGTCCTTTTGCAAAGAAAACTGTAAAGTGTGCTCTTTATATTTTAAATCATGGTATATCACTTATATACAGTAGGTTACCAATGTCACAGAATTATTCTGAAAAAGTGTACTCTGGCGCACACTTGTCATGTGTTGTATCTAGAATTTACCTTAAGATTGATGTTGTCTTGCAACTTTGGCACCATTTTGTTTTCCTTTTTTTCCCTTTCATGATAATGGACTTCAGGTTATTTAAATATATATATATTAGCCTTCAAAGGAGAACAGTACCACTTTTGCATAATGTTTTGAACAGCGTTTATGTATCACACAAATTTTATGTGATATTGTCAGATTTGTTCCTAGTTCATCATTGAATGTGAATCCTTGGAATCCAGTTTATAATGACCATAATACTTCAAATCTGGTAAATCAAAAGCCTTATTGTTAAATTTGTAAATAGTGCTAAGACCATGGTTCCATAAAGAATTGATTGTGAAAGAAAATGTTGGTGTAGACTTAGCTGACAATATGTTTCCTTAGTTTTTTTTCCATATAGTAACTAGATGTACTGTATGTTTAGTTAATTGATTTTTGCTTGGAAATGTGTGCAACTGTGCAGCAAGTACTCAAAGGGATACAGATTTAATTAATATATTACTCTACCAATGTCAAAACTAAACCAATGTCAATGTCAGTGTCAGAGTTTTTAAAAAGCACTGATTAAATAGCAGTGAAGACCAAGTAAGTGCTTTTTCTCTGTTTTTCATAATCAGCATCACAATCAACCCCACCAGTTATCGGCAGATTTATTACATTTGGAATGAATTTGGATGTGCTTCACATTTGTTTTCTACATCTTAAACATACTGTAAAAATATATTTTTAATGTGATCCAAATCCAATTAATCCTGAGGGTGTTTGAAATCATCATTAAGCCAAAAGATTAGATGTGTTTGGTTGTGTTGCTATAGTATGTCTTGGAAAAAGTGTGTTCTTTCCATCTTAGGCTAAAAGCATATGAGTTTAATCATGACCTTCATTATGTGTTATGCTTCTTGTTATTGAAAAAAGTAAGAAATTGTACATTTGGTGTGTGCAGAAAATGCTGTGAAATTAGAATATTTAGGTTGAAATAATTATATTTTAAAATACCTAAAACACTTATTCAACAAAGATGGGCGAGGGGTTCATTATACATTCTTCCAGTGTTTAATAAGCACCAGGTTTCCAAAAACAGATGTATAGTATAACCTTCAATGTAGCAAACCCAGACCTAAACCATCTACATTTACTGTACTTAACTGTATCTTTAAATTTCTTTCTTTGATATGTATTGCTAAATAAAAACATTAACTAAATAAAGCTTTTCCTATTTCAGGCTACCTGGGTATCTTCAAAATCAGACAACAGTTCTGATTTTTTTTTATAAAAGAAAACAGAACCTGCAGTCAAATAGCCTAAAATGAATAGTTTCCCTTTCTTTTTAAATTTAACAACTTAATTTTATACTAGTTAGTCCAAATGGGTTTAATGTGTCTTCAAGCATATATAATATGGATTAGGCTGTGACTTGGCAGTATTTTTTAATTTCTCTGTTAAATGTTGTTTTAAAATATTTTTGCAGTGTGGCTCAACTAGCAGAGGTTCTCACCTAGATCATAGACTGATCTTTGCAGTTCAGGTACAACTAGCCTGGGCTTTGTCAACAGATTGCTGTGATTGAGATTCTCTGCTAAGAGTAGTATGTGCTCCCAGTGTTGTCAATAATGGAATCACTCCTCGTGTTGAAGCTTTTTCTGTAGTAAAGGAGTATGGAAAACACTTGCTATGTTTGAAATGGCAAACTGCTTGATGGTGCATATGCAGAATTTGAAGGAAGCTTGTGATGCACTCATTCAAGGTATTGTAGCGAGGTGACATGATTAACAAATGGATTTTCCTGATTATAAGGAAATTTGTGATTCCACATTAGTGGAAGAATAGTGCAAAATTGGCATAAATCATTGTTACTTTCTGGGCAGTTAAAGCCTAAAGGGTTCATCCAAACCTACAAAGTCATGCAGACCAACCGGAATAGATTTGGCTCAACCATTCATCTTTTGCTAGCTCATCCAAAAACAGATGCCAGTGAAGTCGGGCAACTTTTTGAACTGAACAACCTCAGTGAGCTGTTGTTGTTTTTTTATGGTTTGTGATTTAACTGACTCTTCTACCTCTTTCCTAGCTCTCCCTTTCATATCGCTCTTGTGGAGCAAAGCATGCTGCCCTTTCTTTGTTCCTCTTCTTTTATGAGCCTCGCTCAGAGTCTGGGGACCTGCCCTGAACTCAGCAGGCCTGGTGAGATACAGGCATTGTGATGGGACCTGTTTGCTGTTGCTGTTTTCTGTGTGGTGGCTGTGCTATACAGATTGTGAGACTGTGACTGGTTTGATGTCACTCTTTGTTGCATGTTCACACTGTGTGTGACGACTGTAAATTGACAGTATCATTAGGATCTTTGTCAGAGTTTGCTGTTCGGTACAACGGGGAAAAAAACAACCATTGTGCTGATGGTATAAGTTTGTCTTACAACCTTCTTTCACGTAACCATAGGCAGCTACATGCAATGATATGTTGCTACATGATGTATATATACTCAAGGTCTTGGGCAAAGTGTCACATAGTCCCCATGTGGAAGGTCTGGTAGAAAGAAATGCTTGTAGGTGGCTAATAGAAGAAAGAGAGGGTAGGAAAGTCCTTTTTCAGGCCATAGAAGAAAGAGAAGGCCAAAAGGTAAGTGAGGCTGCTGAGAGGTGCTTGAAACCCAGAGAGAATTTAGAGTCCAGTTTTTACACAAGGTGCAGGGTCCAGTGAATGAAATCCAAAATGTAATCGAAAACAGAATCTGAATAAAAGGACCAAGTCATCCAAATTCAAACACTAGAGCACACACAGAGGTTCAGCTGAACATGAGGTAAATTAAACCTAGGTGTTGCATTAGGCCTAAGTGTTTGCCTGTTTGTTTCTCTTTGTAAAGAAGGTGTTGTATAGGTGTTGTAAAGAAGGTGTTGTATAAACCTAATTTCATGTAATTACATGAAACATGCTAGAGCAAAACAAACAATAATTGTTTTCAGCTCTGAAAATGCAGAAATGTTTTTTAAGCCTTTAAAACAGACATGAAACTTAAGAATTGTAATTTTTCTAACTAAAACCATGAAAGGGTGCTGTTGGGAAATAGAATCATCTGAAAGCTGTTGAAAGGAAAGCTGAGCTGTATGCGTATGCATGACCCCAGAAGGTCATACTGCTCATGGTTTGGCATATGGTTTGTTTTTGCTGTTTCATAAAATGTCATATTAGTCTATGTTTCTAATAATTCTACATTCAGCCCTGGCATTTATTTATGTAAAGTACCGAAGCTTACTTTCTCACAGAAATATACTCCAAATTTTATCAGTATTTTCTTTGCTGTTAATTGCATTGTTATGGCACAAAGTAAAGGCTGTGATAAATAGCTTACGTGAGAACTGTTTAAAGGAGGAAGGTTGAAATGAGAGGAAATTGCTTTGAGAAAATAAATTGGATCTTAATTACACCAAGGAAAACCTAATCACAAAAAGCCTGTGCAATCTGCATTGCTATTTGTATTCAGGATCCCTTTCTCTTAAATTTGTTATGGTTTTCCGGAAAAGGGAAACATTTTTTTGCGAGGTTTTATAATTTTTCCTAAAACACAGTTTTTTGACAGTGCCAACCATGCCAAGGAGCTTTAGCCTCTAATCTATCTGCAAGTTCCATTAAAGAAAGTCATTGGTAAAGCCAACTGAGTGTGGTGAGAGCAAATGCTGAAAACTTGACAGCCATTGTCTGTGGCTTGAGAAGACTGATGTGACACAGGGCAAAACTCTAGGAATGCGTGGAAGTCCCCAAATGACTTTAAATGTTATATGACTATGAGTTGTTGCATGTCTGAATCCTGGCCTTACTCCGTGTGGCTATGAAATTTTAGAATAATTTACAATTATCTCAGCATGCAACAACTTTGCACCTACTTTCGCTTCTTTTGTTGAGTTTTTCTCTCTTTCTGTACAGCATGTATTGTACATGTCATTGCATGTCTCTTGCTAAAACCTAATACGCATTAATCAAATTGAGCCCAGGGTAGGTCTAAAATCTACATTGCAGTATATGATTTCCCATGCTTTTGTTTTCTGAGCTTGAAGTCTTTGTTTTCATGTTTGTTCTTTTTAAGGTCATTAAGGATGTTTGTTACAACAGCAATGGAGTGATCGACTCAGATGGAGCCTCCAGTTCTCCAGTGCACAAAGCTGAACTGGAAAAGGTGAAAGCCGGGAAGGGCTGATGTTCCATAAAATGCTTTAGAGTAGAGGAGTTTATTGGAATGTACATTGAAAATTGGAATTTTTATTCATACCGATCTCTCAGAATGTACAGGGTACAGCAGACGATACAGTAAGACAGACAACGCCACACAATGTAGACAGTATATTATAAACATAATAAGTAATAATCAGAACAATAAATATGGTAGTGGTAGTTAAAAAAAACATGGTAGTCCATGCAAAAAGTGCAAAGTGCAGATGTGAATTTGAGTCTGAGAATTGCATTTAGCTGTTAAGGATGTGTATTGCAGTAGGGTAGAAGCTTTTCTTAAGCCTAGTGGTCCGTGCTTTAATAGTGCGATACTGCTTGCCACAGCATAGGGGGGGGGAGCTCTTGATTAATTAAGGTTCTTTAAAAGGACCTTTTTGTACATCTTAGTATGAGTACAGAAGCTTGATGATGAAACTGGAATAAAAAAGTTATGTGGGAAATGCTTGTGATATGATTAAATGTCTGCAAAATGCATCCTCAGAAATGGGAAAGAGGAAAAACTTAAATACGTAGCCTCAAAATGGAGATATCCTGAGCATATTCCCACCATTATTAAGTTAAAAATGGATTTTACGTGAAAAACGTATGACTAAGGTTCACAAATAACACCCTGCATGTAACATTTGAAATTTTCATCTTTTACTATTTTGAAGCTGGCAAAGAAAACAGCCTAATTATATGTATACTATGTTTTTGACAGATGGTATGGATTCTTTTCAGGGTGATGTTTAAGCACTTTCTCATCTGCCCATAAACATTCTTTACCATTGCAGAAATCATCTTGTGACAGGCCAAGTTCTGATGGGGAGTGGAACGTTGAAAATGGCGTTGCTGATGGTAAAGAGCAAGGTAACCTGTGTAACAGATTCAATTCTTTAGCTAAGTGTCTATGCCTGAGAACCATAATAATCATTGCACTAACCGTAAGAACAGCTGACTCTTCATTATACATCTTAAATGAAACATTAAATCGTTTGGCACTCACGGATCAATGTTCTGTTAAGCAGCATTTGTGGCTGAATGTGCCACAGATATACAAAACAAAGAATATCTGTAAGTTAAAGAAACGATGCCTCTCAAAAACCATATAAACCAACCAATACCAAACTTTCCATGAGAGAATTCAGAGCTATGTGTAAGCACTGGTAAGACATTTGAAAAAAACAAACCATTGTTTTGCTCTTCTTCTAGTAACCAATGTCACAGATGACTTCATTACAATTTCAGAATAAGTGTAATTAGTCCGTGCTCTGTGTAGAAGGATAAAAAACACTGTAAATGTTCTTAGTGTAATCTATAAATGTATCCATACTGCCACAACCCTTTGCTTAAAGAACTGATTGAAATGCACTTCCATTTAGCTTTCACTTGGCTGATGTAAAGACAAAAGGTTTAAAAGTTCTATTAATCACTAATTAACAATTATTTGAAGTATAATGAATCATCCATGGATATTCAGTGAGGTTTATGTAGTACCGTATCTGTAGATGCTTCATTCATTTTGATAGAAACCCAGTTGATAGTTAATTCATTTATTAATTGAATATGTAAGGTAAAACCATATGTATTCAATTTAATCCAAGACATTACAGAGAATATGCTGAACATAACTACTAAATAATGTACAATATATGTACGCTCTTGTAATAATTTGGCTGTTCACGTAAATGGACATATTTTATGACAGTAAACACATTTCAGCTGTGATCGTCTTAGATCACATCTGTCTTGAATGAGCAGACAGCAAATGTGCAGAAATATCCTGCAAGAGTTCACTACGTATTTGAGTTCATGCCATATGCCCATGACTGACAGACTGACAGAGATCCTGGCTCTTGTGCAACAGTGGCCATTAATTATTGCAAGGTTCACTCAGGGACGTATTAACCTGTGGGAGGATGAAATTCAACAGTGACACCACAAGAACATACCTTTGCTCACTGCATCTGTTCTTGCAATAGAGCTCTGGCTAACATAATGGATGTGGAACACAGTATGAGATACTGTAGTCTAATCAGGGGACATGTCTGATTAAACCCTCTAATGGTGGCCTGTATCATAGGCTATATTCTTTTCTGGTGACTTGTTTTTGTAGTTTATGTCCAGAAGTAATTCAGGTGTAGAAGTAACACGTACTGTAACTGTTGTGATCTAACTGCAGAGCTTTGAGACGACAACTAAATGAAGAAGCAGGAGTATTGTGGTACAACATGCTTTTTAATGAAAAAAAGCTTATGTTTATGCCTAAGGTTTTCTGCAGAGAACATTGACAGTTTAAGTCATGCATGTCCTAATCAGTCAACTTTCTTTAGTCATCCTGTGATCTGGTTCTATTTAACAACCATGTCTGGATTAATTTTATGGAATCAGAAGTATCATTTAAAATATAACATATCCTTGAGTGCTGTGCTCAGAGGTCAGCCAGTTTGTATTGTAAACTAATAGAACATACTCTGACTACAAATTATCTGCATTACACAAAGCACCATTCTCAATAGGGCATTTCAAGTTTGGTGTGAGAGACATCTATTTTACCATGATTGTAGGATTTGAACTAAATCATGCCTGGTTATTTGACAATGAAGCTTCACCAATGGAAAAGAGCAGAAAATAAACAGTGAAACTGTGTTTGGTTTTAATCTAAACTTCATGATTACATTATGAGCTTTGAATGTTCTTTAACCACCCAAAACTGCAGTCTTCAAAAGAGAGTAGGAGTTTGTGGCTGTTGTGTTCCCCCTTAGAATCAAAGTGTTTTGGATTGACTATTATTAAAATTTACTTTTAAGAAATCTACATCAAAATTAACTATTTATGAAAATAAATATGAAAGTTCCTTTGATTACATTTTCAGGGTGATAATACAATGTGCATTGCACTTATCCTATGGTAGTATTACAGAAGAACAAATCATTTCTTGTAATATCCCTCCTGTTTTTGTTCCTGTCCGAGTAAAACTCTTCTGTAATTTATATATTGTTTATAGAGACCCAGACCTTTTATTTTGAATACATTTTATTAGAATAATAATATTAGTATCAAAATTAAAACATCTGGATAAGTGAACACTTGTGTTTGTATTCATAAGGTGCATTGTTACACTTAGTAAAAAGACAAGGGTTTTGAATGAATCAAATTATAGTTAAGGTTGCATTTGAATTACTGCTGTTTTCTGGTTATTGACTGTCACTTGTGTTTGGGGTGATCTACTAAACATTTTGTGCTGTTGCCCCCTAGAGGGGATCTTTGGAATGACTCTTTAGTGGTGGCCACTGGTAAAACTTTGAACAGGAGACTCTCAGACAAGCCACAATATGAATGGCATCAGTCACTTCTTCTCTCTCTTTGGCAGTGAACAGTAAAAATGACAATTACCTACGGTATGCTTTCCTAATAACAGTAAAAATTATAAGTGCTGTTTTTTGGTGTAGCACACAATATGTTTGTACAGGAATATTTCTAAAGTAAAAAAAAATGTTTTTATATTTATTATAGTATCTTGGAATTCTACAGATTTTAAGTAATCAAATTAGTTTAACCATTTTTATCTCTCCTCCACTGGCAGTTCTGCGGTACTCAAAACTGAAGTTTCTGTTTTTGATTTTTTTTTCTCTGTACCAGTGAAAAGTTCTAATAATAAAACCTTGGAAAATGCTGTGATATTATGGTAGAGTCTTTAGTAACCAGGGGAATCTCTAAAGGTGTGGGATTATTATGTAAAACAAAATGATATTCTTCTTAAATCTATGAATTAGTCATCCTTCATTATTTCGGATAACTGAAGCCAACTTAAGTAATACTTTAATGCCACGTTTGTTGTTTCAAAAGTTTAAATGCGTACAATTTAATGTCAGGTATTTCATGAAACTAGGTAGAAATGTATTATCAGTCACACTAGTCTGAGTACTTTATCTGGCCTGTAACTCAACATATCAGCTCTGTGTAATTAAAATTAATTTAGTATTCAAGATGTCTCACTTAGCAACCAAACCACAGTTAAAGGCGAACTGCCAAGAATGGTTTCCACATACTTATGTACAGTACTTCTGTTTTTCTTCTGACCTGTTGTACTTAATCTGGAATGAATGTATTCAATCTTCATTAAAATATATACTCATGTATGTAATTTATTTATTTGATTAAATGTATTTTACTGTAAATACATAGTTTTGAACACTTTTATAGTTTTGAATTACTGGAAATAATATGATAAAGGTAAATTGAGAAAAAATAATATTTTAAAATTTAAAATGTGAAATTTGTTTGTGAAACGACATAATTTCAGAACAAAGGAAGGGAATTACATTAAAATTAAAAATTGGTATAGGCCAAGAGTTGGAAAAACTGTTAAAAGATGTTAACAGTCTATCTTGTCTTTCTCCTGATTTGTTCCAAATTTTCCCAACGAGAGTATCATTGTGAAACACTTTTTGATTTTCTTGGGTTCTGTAATGATCTAGTCCAAAGACAGAACAAGGTCATCCAGTTCCTCACTCTTGCCTTTACTGGTTAGAGCTCATCTTCTGCGTTAAACAACTCCCACTGCAGACCATTAAATAAAAATGATAAAAAGATGAATTTACGTTTTGTCATTTGAATACAGCAAAACTTATCTCTGGAAAAATGTAACCATTATTCCTTACTTGTCTCTCTAGACAATACTGCATATTGTAAGCAGCTCCTTTCAAATTATTTTGAGTTTCATTTTTAAAAGAGGAAAGTTATAGCTTCCTGTTCAACAGTAATGTTTTTATAAGGCCTCTGATGGTTATGTATTGTATTTTAAAGTAAAAGTGGAGCAAAAGGGAGTCTCTCTTAGTTGCAGAAATGAATTAAAAGGGAAAATAAAAAACCATAACAGATTCATACTATGCTGCAGTTGCCTGAGGTGAAGTCAAAATACTTAAGCCTCTTTTGTTCCTAGACCTCTTTTGTTTTTTTATATTTTTGTCATATATACTTTATAAATTATATTTAAGGATGATTACTCTGATGGTTTCAAGGCCTTTTTTATTGTGTAAAAATATTTAAGTTTCAGATAAACCACAACTAATCTCCCAATTCCTTCTTTGCATGGAAAAAAAACCTCAACCAAGGTTTTGTTCCCCCCCCCCCCATTAGATTCTTTTCAAAGTGAATATTTACTCTGGATTTATGTGTCAGTTGTTCTGTTGTTGCTGTTTGTCCCAGGTAAAGGGAAGAAGAACTCCAAGGCAGATCAAAAGGGTCCAGTGAGTAAAGTCACTGGCAAGAAGATCACCAAAATAATGGGCCTTGGGAAGAAGAAGCCATCTACGGATGAGCAGACCTCTTCCGCAGAGGAGGACGTACCCACCTGTGGTATGTAGGCAAATAGCAGTTGCTGTCTGTAGCAAAGAAACATGACAATACACTGGCCTGACAAGGGTGGATATACAAGTCTAGTCTATTGAATATAAGGAAAGTCATTGAAACAGTAAACTGAGTATACTGTATATAGATTGGTTTTATTATTTTACTTGTGTGAGTCAAAGGGGGTCTAAAAGAATTTAATACCCAAAAGCTCATGAAGGATGCCACAATATTCATAAGTGTAAAATAGCGATTTACAAGTATGATGGTTCATATTCATTCTATTAAATGTGCCAGTGGCGGCTCATAGCCTGCGGTTAGAGACCAGGAGCATTCAAATGAGAAATATCAGTTGTCCTGTGGCTCAAGGATGCAGTCGGGTTGCCTTTTGATCTGTCCCACTTCGCCACTAATCAGGTGCACAGTTATTCCTTTAAACTCACCTCTTAATTATTACCGAAAGGGTGCTCTGTCATTGATCTCTTACTGCGAATACTCAGACCGCACTCCCCTCTGGACATGCTAACGCATCCTTTTTGGATAGCGGATCCAGTGTCATCTAACCCAGCTGCCAGCTTAACCCTGAAGTGTTCCCTGGGCACTGGGTCTCCACTGCAGCTTCTCCAGCTTTTCTGATGTATTAGAAACCGGCAGCCATCTACCTCCCCAGCCCACTGCAACAACGGCAGCCTCTTTCGTGGGCTACAGCCAGTCTCCAGACCAGCCTGCTGCAGTTTCTTCAGCTTCACCAGCAATTTCTATAGCCTCGCCAGTCTACTGTTAGTTGGCAGCCTGTCTCTGCTATGACTTCTATAGCAAATATAGTTTGCTACAAGTTGGCAACCATTCACCGCCCCAGCCCACTGCGACAACGACAGCCTCTCTGGTCGGCTACATATCTGCAGCCAGCCTGCTGCAGTCTCTTCATTTTCACCAGCAACTTCTACAGCCTTGCCAGTCTGCTACAAGTTGGCAACCATTCACCGGCCCAGCCCACTGTCAGGACCACAGCCATTTCTCTCTGCTCCGCTGCAATCCCTACAACTTCACCAGCCTGCTGTAAGCTTCAGGACTCTCCAATCCCTAGCACTTGGGTTCCAATCTGATCACCCCCCGCAGCTATGTCTTGAGCTATAATGATAAAGTCAGCAAATTTGTGTCATGTCATGTAAAGAATTTAAGAAATGTTTGAATGTTATGACAGGTTACCTGAACGTGCTGTCCAATAACCGCTGGAGGGAGCGCTGGTGCCGGCTCAGAGACAACCAGTTGATTCTCCACAAGGACCGGAGTGACCTGAAGACGCACATGGCCTCCATCCCACTCAGAGGTTGTGAGGTCATCCCTGGCCTGGATTCCAAACACCCGCTGGCTTTCCGGCTGCTGCGTAATGGACAAGAAGTGGCAGTGCTGGAGGTAAAAGAGCTGTTTGTTTGGAATTGCTAACCATTGTTGCAAGAAAGTCTTAGTGAATCATCTCCTGCCATAACTGCCAGTTCCTCAGGAGATTGTACTGCTGCCTGGATTTTCATACATTCCCATTTCTGTAAGACTGTACAAGCTATTTTGCTGAGTGGCCTCGTTTTTCTCCCTAGGGTTAGTCAAGAGCAGTTTTCCAATCTTAGAAAGTGAGTGTTAAAATAATTACCAGTGATAATTATGATGAATAGCATGGTGTAGTAGGGATCATTGGGTAAAGCCATTTTTGTAACTCAGGTCTGGCTGAACAGCAAATTGTAATCTTTGTGCAGTACTCATGCAGAAAACACAGTATTATGACAGAATATGCATTTCACGCACTACGTTATTTTCCATTCATGTTTTCTGAAGTACGCTGCAATGAAGAAGATTCCCCCAAGCATGCTTGATAATGATATAGTCTTTTGGGGAATGAAATGCACTTCCACGCTCTGAAAACCAAAGTCTGTGCTGTTTTCATTTTAGGAAAGTGCACATGTGCTTTGAGGTTTTCATTGTAATTAAAATTAATTGGGGCTCTGTACAGTATGAGCATCACGCCCAGTCAGGAAAGGGCTTTGAGTGTCTCTCTGTCTCTTCCCACAGGCTTTGTCTTCAGAAGGAATGGGCAGGTGGCTTGGAGTTCTGTTGGCAGAAACAGGCTCAACAACAGACCCTGCTGCACTGCACTATGATTACATTGATGTGGAAACCACTGCAAATGTCATACAGCTGGCAAAGCAATCATTCTGGTAAGGTATTTTGGAAGAACTGTCTTGGAAAATGCTGAGATGATACGTCTGTTTTCTGTGGCTGGAAAGGATGACACCTTCCAGTCAACTGGAAAAGGGAGCTTTAATCTTGCTTCTTTGCTGCAATAAAAAAATCAGATTAATTTACCAGTTAGCTGAAATGTCTGAATAGATGCAAAATCCCATTATTTTCACCCTGGAGCACATCTTGTTTTTTTATTATTATTATTTTTAGTATTGGAGATTGTCCACACCAGTTGAGAAGAACACATTTTTGTCCCACTTTTTAGTACCTAACACTGATATGCTGTAGTTTTAAGTAAAAAAAAAACAGCACAGTTGTTCCAGTTCCCTTTCTGCCAACAGAAGCTTTAGTGCTGTTTGAAAGGAGGCACTAGAAAATCAGCAGAGAAAACTGATTTAGAAATACTTTTGTGCAAATCCCATGATAAGTTAAAAAGAGCACTGTTGAAAATCTTTTTGTTCTGCTTCCCTTTGCAAACTGAACATTGTAGTGTGTTAACACTTTCTGTGCTAATAATCCTACAGTATGAACCACATTAAAAACTAAAATATTAATAGTTAAGTTTTTCCTGGAAAACTATGTGTGGGCCCAGCGAACAAATGGGAAGATAACAAGAAACAAATGCCTTACTGTAAGCCAGAAGACCACATTGAACAGGAATGTAGTCTTGTGAAGCAAAGAATCAATCAAAAAATAGCCCATATTTCATATTGTAGAGACCACTTGAAAGGCTGTGTAATGCCTTGTAATAGAAGTATATCTGTGCTGGTTTGTTAATTCATGACAGATGACTAACGTATTGGGTTCCATCATGTTCTTAAATTAATGTGTATCTGAAATCCATCATTGGACAGTGAAATTAGGAAGCTGGGACTGCTGTAATAACTGTTCAGGCAAATTATTCTTTGCTTTTATCTATATATATTTGGTACTACTTGTCCACATTATTGCAGAGCAGTTTAATGAAATGTAAGACGTGAAAGTTATCAAATTATTTATTACTGATAACCTCTGTGTACTGTCTAGCTGTACTGGCAATCCAAACATGGAATATATCACAACAACTGATCATAACATCCAAACATTTGTTAATATTCATTAATGTTAGTTTATAACAATATTGTTTTAAAGTTTTAGACCCTTTTGACCTTTTTGTTTTAATAAAAATTAAAAGTAAGTTGAAAGTACTAAAGCAACAGCAAGATGCAGAACCAGCAGATTAATATGTTACAGTGTATTCTATTTAGGGTATGACTGCCTTCTAAGTGTGGTTTATTATGGCATTATAGGAAAAAGTCTTCTAAGATCATTTTTAAGATTTGTAGAAGCTGACATCTGGTGTGGTTTACTTATGCCCTTGAAAAGTTCTTTGGACGTGTTCTTTTTTTCTAAAATGGATGTGAAAAAGACTTTTCTCACAGAACATTTTTTTAAATGGACACATTTATGTTAAAATCAGTTTCAGTGCATCTTAAGTTGAATTTGATATTATAATTTGAAGTTCAAAGTAGAACTGATCTGTTTCCATGCATTAAATGATCAAACGTCTTTTAAAAAAAGCAATTTGTATCAAATGTTATCAAATGAATTAAAATGCTCAATGATCTGTCTTATTCTCTTCATCATCAGTTCAGACACTGTGCTTACTTTTGTGAGAGAGTTTAACCTATTATTAGCAGTAGAAATATATGAATGATCACAAACAAAAGGAGACGGTTTGGATAATGTTCGGACATAACAGTTCAGTGTTTCATCAATTTTTCAAAGAATCACACTGAATAAACTTAATTATTTCAGATCGCCACCACTCTCTGGTAAAAAAAAATATATTTTGTTTTCCGTTGTTACTATTCCTAAACTTAATTTCCATTTGTGTCTCTGTGTCCTTATGAATTTTGTGATCCAGAATCTGTATTCTGTTTTACGTTGTATAACTAGTATTTTAGAGAAAGACACACTTTAAACAAAGAACCCTGTTCTGCACCCATGAAAGTCAAGAGTTAACATTTAATTTGGAAAGAGTAAATTAAGTTCCTGATGTTGCTTTAATTAACTAGGTCAGAGTTAGTGTTAAGGTTAGCTTTTATTGGTTTCTTTCTGATTCAGGAAATGTGTTGTGAAATACATCAGTATTTCAAAAAATAATTCTGTTACATATTACAGAAGACATTTTTGTGTTTAATTACGATAACAAGATCTTAAAATTAAGAATCCTCTAATTTTCTTTAAAAATCAATTTTCTTTATATACTCTGCATTTTTTTGCTTTATCACTTTGGCGTAGGTTGGACAGATTCTACTTATAATGTCTTTAAATGTTTGCAAGCTGAAATAGCAAAATGAGAACTTTGTTGGGGGGGGTTATTTTACAAAGGACTGAGGAGCTTTCTACTGCGTAGTCCCATGATGTGAGCCAGTAGAAGCTCTGAGCAGACAATTACAAATCCTTATTGCAGAGTGCCTGTAGCAGAGCTGTCACCCCTACAGTGCATGTTATGTTCTTCTCTTTTTGAGAAATATAAAGCTAATGCAAAAACATTCTATAATTTTTTTCGTCAGCATAATCTACCTAATTTCAATTTTGTACTTAATCTTCCACTGAATATGTAACTGCTTTAACAAACAAGTAAAAAAAAAAACTTTTAAATACCCCCAATTAAAATCTAAATGTTCCCATCCATGCAGACTAGTTACTGTGGTAATGGAAGGGATTTGTGATGTCTTACTGAAGTTCTGATGATGTGCCAAATTGTTTTCACATGTCTTAGTTTATTTTAACACCTATTCCCATGGAGGGATATTGAATGAAACTCAATAACAGCAAGAGTGGTGGTCCTGAAAACTGAATTACATAGTTGTCCTTTGAACTTCAAATTCCTGCTGCTAGGAATGCATATGCCTGTGCAAATATTTTAGTTACATTTGTAGTATCTACATGGATTTTGTGAGCTTTTGATGTGTGTCTGACTGTGCCCGATATTGAAAGATGTCCTTTGACCCCATTCCGCACGTCATGCTGATCATGAACCATGATTCAAGCCTTTAATTTCTCCTGTCCTCCTGTGTCTCTTTCCAATTTCAGCTTTACCAACAGACGTGCCACTTCTCCTAACCCTTATCTGGATAACCCTGTAAATGGCTATGCCTGCCCCTCAGGAGTGGCTCTCCATTACGACGATGTCCCCTGTGGAAATGGATTGGTAGGGTTCTCTTATTATAGTTTCTCTGAAAAGCTTCTGCCTATCTGGGCTTTCCCCGTGCACGCCCACAGGGCTTATGGTATTCCACCTGCTTTTCTTTAAAGAGTTTGCTGATCTTATACTTGTTAGCAATCTTAACATTATGGGACCTTTAGAATAAGAACTTCTCATACTTCTTATTTCCCTGCACCTACCACAGACCACCTTTCAAAAAGTAACAACGGACACTTGTGCCAGCTTCGGACTTGAACTTTCATGAGATGGTTTTTTAAATAAGAACTTTCTATACATTTTCGCTGGAAGCTGGCAGACTGCAGGTGTGTCTGAAATGCTCTTGTTTCCAGTTTCCTGTTTCAACTGCCAGATAGCATGTTTACCATGAATGGTTGCTTTAGCTTTTTAATCCCGCTACTTATCTAAAGTTTCTTTTGAACTGTCACACTGAAATAAAGTTGTAATTGGTAATTCTTTTAACACTTTCTACACTAATCCATTTGTTATTTCCACCTGTCTGCTTCGTGTCTGTCTGCATGCGTGGCTGCCTTCAAAGGATCCTGAGGACACACACAGGACTCCTGCTAGCAGGTGCTGGAGGGAGGAGGGGTTGTATGAGAACGCTGACCTGTATGAAAACATGCCCTCGCCAAAGCTTGCAGCTCGATACACCCCCAAGTCTAGCAAGCTTTCTTCTGCTGAGAAACAGGAAGCTAGTCATTACAAAACTCCTGTTTCCTCCAAAGTGTCCTCTTCACGCCCTGTCACTAACACTGCTTCTGCTGGGAGGGCTTCCACTGGTACAAGCTCTCAGGTGAACTGCCACCCTTAACACAATCTCTGCCATGCACTGTAATCTCCTGCTGTCCACAGTTTCTGCTGCTTATCTGTGTGTGTCTGTGTGTCTGTGTGTCTGTGTGTCTGTGTGTCTGTGTGTCTGTGTGTCTGTGTGTCTGTGTGTCTGTGTGTGTGTCACACTTTTACTTTAGGTGGGTAGCTGCGTCAGCATGCATAGGCTGCAAAGGAACAAGTAACAGGTTTATACCATGCTGAAAAGAGAAGAAAGAAAACAACGTTTACATAAATTTATACAATTTTACTGAATTAAGAGAAATCAGCATGTTCTATATGCAAGTACCCTATATTGGTTTATTAGGGGCCTGCACCCCTGACCCAGATTTACAGTTTTTATAGTAGAAGGCAGATATCACTCGTTTGTTTCTTCCTCATCAACGTTTGTAGTATATTATAAAAGACAACACATTTATCTGCTCAAGGATGCCACTAAATTAATAGGCATCATAGCAAATAAAGAAGAACAATTTTTGTTCACTACCCAAACCTGTCTTTTATGTGTTATTTCCTAGCTTTAGAACTGCGTTGTATGTTACTTATGTATAGAGTGCCCTCTAGATTTATTCATGCTCCTAATGAAATAACATTATCAAAGAAATTGATGGTCTTAATCTGTAAATCTTAATATGTAATCATAATAGCTGTAATCATAGTAGCATTGAACAGAGCAAAGTCCAAATACCAGGAAACATGACTTTAAATTAAATCCAACCAAAACCCATATTCAATATGTTTTTTTTTTCTCTTTGGAAGTGAAATGGAAGACATTCAGAAGTGGTTATATACCACTGTGGTTAAGGTCAGAGAGCTCTCTGTGGCAAATGTGATCCAAATGTCCAATATGACATTTTCAGAATTCTTCTTCAGCCGGGACCTATTAGTTCTTCATTTGTTTTTGTTTCTACTTCATTAACGTATGAACAAATAAATGGTATTTCATTAATAAAGTAGACATCCATCCCAAAATAATTGTGATTTTACAGTGTTCTATTATATAATTACTTGATTAAGCATTTTAAAATAAAAACAGTGGATGTCAGGAAGTAGAATTTGGCGTTTAAACGTACCTCTATTTGTTCATAAATACATTGCACTTGTTTTGGTTTGCGATTAATTTTAAATGAAAAAGGTTAAAATCTAACCAACATCTTTCAAAAACTTGAACAGTTCAAAGGAAAGAAAATTCCTGTGACCAATGGAGTGGGAGGAAAACAGAAAATGGAAAAAACGCAGCAGAAAAAGCAAAATGGAAGCCTGCCAATTAAGCGCACAAACTCAAGTAAGCAATCATGATTTTTTTTTCATTTTAACTAATTGAAATAGCGATTCTATTTTCACAGATTACAAAGACATTTATAATGGCAGTGTAATGCTAAGAGATAAGCTATAATAAATCAATTCATTTTGTTTCTGATTAAGATCCAGTTAAGAGACTGGTAGCTTAGTGTTATAGTAACTGAGTGCTCAAAAGATGCTTTATGAAAGTAATTTTATTAAAGAAATGTGTACAATTCTGTGCTGGGATGTTATAATCAAGGTGTTTAAAATGTAAAAATATTTTACATTGAAGTGACTGAAAATTGCAAATGTCATTTGATTTATTAAAAATCATTATTTGATTATGTGGTGTTATTTGGTGTTATGGTGCACTAAATGGTGTATTTAGTAGTTTTGATTCTAGTCTCAAAGCTGATTGAGCATCCAGAAATGTCTTTAGACCTCTGTAAGAAACTTTAAGAAAATGCCAATTACAGAATTCTAGAGAAAGAAATATATTTTGAACTGCCCAAATAAAATGGAGCACACTATGATGGAACAGCTCAGGGACAAAATCTTTTTGTCGTGTCATGCATAATCCACATTTTTGTCGTAAGATCCCATGCCTCCAGTTTATCTGGTATATTTTAGCTTTGTTTTGCACAACAAGCTGAATTAAAGTTCTTATTATAAAAGATGTTACTGGGGGAAAATAATTTATTTTTTAATTATGATGGTCACGATAGAAAATGGCGCGAGACAAGTGTTCAAAATATCCATTTCCAATGTTTTCCAGTATTTGTGTTCTTGCTATTGTTGGTAGTTGATATATAGTGGGATGCAACTAAAATTGTTCCCACTATCTCTTCCTCAGAGGTTCGTTGTCATCAAAGGAAGGGGTTTCATTGTTATTTTTTTACTTCCATTTGAATCTCTTTGTAGACACAGATCAGTATAAATATGGTAAGAACAGGGTTGAGGCTGATGCAAAGAAACTACAGGCAAAAGAAGAGGATATGTTAAAGAAGAAGCAGGAAATTCGCAACCGCCTTACACAACTGAAGAAGGAGCGGCGAGACCTCAGAGCTGCCCTTGAAACCTGTACAGGTGTGTCTTTTCAATTCTGACAAACACAGGAGGAGGGGTAGGGGAGGTTCACGAGCAGTGGTAATTCAGTTGGCAAATAGCAGGCTTTTTCATTGGATAAAACTCTGGCAGTTTAGAAAGCTTTACTGCCTCCATGTCCTAACTGACTCCCTTATTTGGGCTTACTTCTGGCTTTTGAGGAAGGATGAATTGGTAAAGTCATGACTGTACGAGACAGTCCTCTGTCTGTCAGCATATTTCTATGGAGCTTATTAAACGGGCAGCAGAATTCAAGTGCCCATCAGGTTTGTCATGTGTTTTCGTTTTGATCTTTTGCAAACCAAAGGCAAGAAATCGCAAGCTGTTCTCGAGGACAAGCTGAAGAGGGTGGATGAGGAGTGTAAGAAGAAGGAGGAGGAGCGTGTCAATCTGGAGCTGGAGCTGACGGAGGTCAAGGAGAGCTTGAAGAAAGCCATGAATGGCGGCATCACGTTGGGGCTGACAATTGAGCCAAAGTCAGGGACCTCCAACCCTCAGGTGAGCCAGTGCCGCTGCAAGAGAACAGTTGACACTTACAGCAGAATGTCAGTAATAATAAGTAACAGGGGCTGTGAGGCTGTTTCCTTGAAACGTTGCATCTGAATTACACATTGAAACCTCTAAGGCAATCCTCTTGTCAGAGATGCTGGTAGACTTTAGCCGTTTTGTACTGTTATGTTTTTTTTAACATGGCCACAATGAGGAGCTCACAGGACTGATGTGTTTTGCTCTTTCACAGTCACCTGTGTTCATGCGGCGGACCCTAGATAATTCCCCGGCCTCCAGCTGTGACACCAGCGACACTGAGACCTCCTCCCTGCCAGTGAACAGCGCTTCCTTGCTGAGGCGGCAGTCGTCTCAGACCACCTCCCCAGTCCGCGGCCACGTTCTCCGAAAAGCGAAGGTCCGCCTGGTTTCCTCTTCAGTCAAGACTGTTTTTAAGATTTTCGTATTCATTTTTTTCCCGACTTCCTTTCTCGTTCAGGAAAACATTTATCTTTGTTTTTGCACTAACTGTGTATTCTAAGATGCATTAAAAATGCAACGAAAGGCTAGAATTAAAACAGGATAGCTGCTCCCTGCTTTAAAGAGTATGTAGAAAAATGCTTGCTAAACACAGAATCAAGGGCTGTTTAGGGATGCAATCTTACTTCAGATCTAGTAAAATTGGCTTCACGAATTTTAAAAAAGAAAATATAAACTACATTAGTATTCAACTTAAGTCACTGTAATGCTTTTTAGTAACTACGTGACTACTAGATTTAAAAGTCAGACTAGGAAATCTCCAGATAATGAAACAGAAGGTGTTCACAATAGTGTTTAAAATACACTTCTATGTAAACACTTCTGTGTAAACCAAAGGGTTTTGGGAGTACAGAAGAGCTATGTTGCTGTGTTGTTGATACCAGTACCCTGACATCTTACAAGAAATGACTAGATCAGTCAACTGCTAACTAGCAAACAGGCTAAATAGGCAGAATGACCACATCTTGTTTGTAACCTTTCTTACTGCATGTTCCTATTATTCTATAAATAATTTCCAACATGATATTTCTGAAGCATTTAATACACATGTCTTCTTTAATGCATCCTCAGGCATGCCTTTTTTTCTCTTTTCAGGAGTGGGAGAAGAAAACCGGGACATAATCAAGATTTTCAATACCTCCGTGATTGATCCTTTTATTTATTTTCAGCAACAGTCAAACAGTAAGAAGGATTTCTGAAAAAACAATATGGATACCAAATGGACCGTAAAGGACAATGGTGATATATACAACATTATAAATCTAAGAAGGAAAAACGTCCTTATCGTATTTGTTTTTTAATACCGGTTATTACTACCAGCATGCTTGTGTCCTTCTTTCCCATTATAAAAGTCTGTGGCCATTGTGTTATTGACCTGAAAAAAGTCAGTGACTATCCATTCTTTTTTGGAATTTAAACATGCCAAATGAAAAGACATTATTCTTCACTTTTTAAGCTTGTCAACTGTAGCTCGTCAAAATTGGTCAAAATTCCTTAAAATATTTATTTGTAAATGTTTAACTAAATATCAAGTTCCCTTTCTTATTTATATTATTATTTAAAGCTTTTGGTGCAGATCAGGCCTCCCTGAGATTATTTCACTATGGGTGGAAGTGTGTTAAAATACTGAAGCCAAAATTCTGAGAGCATATAATGGGCATGGTGTAATGCTGAACCATTGGAACTGGAATTAAACATTTTTTCCCTGTTAGTCTGGGTTCTTACTTCATCCAGCATATGCTGGAAATTAGATACTTTCTAATTTGATAAAAACCTTTTTGATAAAAACTAAGTAGATTTGTCTTGGGAGAAATACACCTTGTGTTTTACACTTTGGGTTTTAAAAGGCTGGATTTCCTGTTAAGAATTTATGCAGATTGTTTCCAATGTATTTTGCCATTGTCAGGCATTGCTTTATTCATCACACTGGTTTAGCCTACATTCTAGGCTTATGGTGCATATGTTAATTTTTGGCACATTCCAATACTGCTCTTATCACTGTAATCTGTGTAAGAATAAGTAGTACCTTTTTTACACTGTTAAAATGTCAATGCATAAAAGTAGAAACTGATGAAAAAGAGTCAGCTTTGTATATTAGAAAAACTGTAATGCATAATCCAATTAAAACAGATGTAAAACAGAAATAGCAACGAAGTATTTCACTTCACTCACTGCAGTTACGCAAAATGGTTTTCAACTTTCAGGCACTTAGAACATTAGAGTCTGGACAACTCTTTATAAACATCTGAGGAAGTTATTTCTTTCTCCTGTTTTACTTTACATACATTTGTCAACTAGATACAGTTCAGGATATTATAGTACAGCTGCAGAATGTGGTTCTGCTGTCATATTTGCCTACTAGTGTTGCCTAAATTACAGTGCCTACGATAAATTTACTGTAGTTATTGGTCTTTTTGGTGGATTTTCTTGATACATAAGAGCCTTTTAGTCCTTTAAATTACAGACTACTACAGTATTATAGAGCCCCATTTATCAGCTCTTTCAAGACAAAAAAGCATTTTGTGTTATTCAGGAGTGAAGCTTACTCTTTCTGTGTGAAACATAGTAGCACTTCAAATGGAAAAGTTGTACTGTACTTGTACTGTATAATGTGTTCAGTTTATAAAGTATCTTTAGATGATTTGTCTAGATATCTGCATCTAGAATGGTATTACTGCAAACAGAATTTTGTAATGTACATTTTTCTTTCTCACTGACCTTTTAAAAAGAAATCACCAAAACATGAAACAATTATTTTTAAGTTATTTAATTTGTTTAAGTATTATTTAAGTGTATACATAAAGTAATTGCCACAGACTTCAATTCTTCAGAATGTCAAGTGTTAACATTCATGTTTGTAAATATTTTTCTTTCTTCTCTGCTATCCAACTATTTTTTGGGGGTCCCATGTCTCTGCAAACAAGTATTATTCAAATCTGTTCTGTGCAGTATCTGAGATTTGAGGGTTGAAAAGTGCATTGCCTTGGCAAGTGTTCAGTCATACCCAACATTGTACCACAAGAAGCAATCCTGACATTCCTGTCTGGTTGTATTGTTTTGGAGACATTTGGATAATCCTAAAACAAACTGAGGGTACTTTTGTTGGGCAATCTGAAATTGGCTTCAGGGATTGTAACCTTAGCAGTTATTTTCCTTGCCTTCTTGAAATCATGTTTTAAGAAGGCAGAGTGAATAAGGAAAGCAGTACAAGGCATGGTACCAGAATCTCAGTCAAAAGCAGAAGAGATGGATGTGATAAATGTGAAAACTATGTAAATAGTTGGAGAAAAGACACTTTTTTTTGTTTGTTTTGCACCTTAATGACTTATTCCATGTATTACCCTCAATGACAGACACCGACTTGGTGGAAAACATCTGTATAGAAATAATAAAGATAAACTGTTTCAAAATCGTTTATTTATTTCAGCCCCAAAATAACATTTGAGCAAACTGCTGGATTATCCTATAATTGTCACAGAACAAATTATAATTTTGCTCCTTGAAGAAATGATTTTTTTAAAGGAGATTATGATATTTCCTACTGAAAAAAACCCCAAGATGGTGCATCTCCACTGAAGCAGAACATATTGTACAGAGGATTTCAGATTACAGGACTGTATAATTAAAATTCATATTCAGTGTTTACTTATGACAAGTAAGACAAAGCCAAAGAAATTTTGTTAGAGATATCGGGCTGTGTCATACCTACTACTTAATGTTATCTACTGGTAATGGTTGGATGTTTGCCCATTATGCCTTCCGACATTTAGGTGCAGCAACATCCTGTTGCTGTTTCTGTAACATTAGTTTTTTTACAGGACAGGGTTGTTAGCCTTGTACCCAACCTCCAACATGGATGACATGGTGCCCGCTGTGGGAGATGATCCCACTGCCCTGAGATCGAGTCTTGTGCTCTACCAACAGAGATAGCCAGGGCGCTATCTACTGGAAGGCCAGCTGATTAATACGAAAGAAAGGTAACTTGATTTGTTAGAGATTAAGTAGTCCTACACCTCTGTTTAACCTTATAGAAATCAAACAGATTCATTTGCTTGTGATGTTTGAGAGAGAGTTAAACCAATTGTTCAGTTACTGTTTCCTCACTTTAAAAATGCAATTGGTAAGAAATCTCAACAGACAGGTTTGTCACACAGATTATAAATATGTTGTACAGTGATAAGGAATTAGAAAAGAAGACCTCAGTAAGCAAAAAAAAGTTCTACTTGAAGCTAACCAGCTTGTATTTACAGTGTTTTAAAAAAAAGAGAAATATCACTCTTAACAGTGACCTTTTTTCTCCTTCTAAGGACAGTGATGTGGAATTTGTGGGTTATGTATTCCATACCAATGAAAAATTAGCATTTTATTAATCTAATTCTGGATCATTCAAGGACTAACGATGATCTTGAGCAAGAACAATCCCTGACCTTTTACTTTTTTAAGTTAGCATTTTCTTCATTTTCATCTCAAAGTAAATTTCACTAAATATCTTTAAAATTAATTCCTTACACTTACACAGCACTTTTCTGGACACTCCTCTCAAAGTGCTTTACAGGTACTAGGGATCCCCTCCACCCCCACCAATGTGCAGCATCCACCTGGATTATGTGACAGCAGCCCAAGTGCACCAGTACACTCCCCACACATCAGCTATTAGTGTGGAAGAGAACAGACTAATGAAGCCTATTCATAGATGGGGATTATTAAGAAGCCATGATTGGTAAGGGCCAATGGGAAATTTGGCCAGGACACAGGACAGGGTTAAAAAACTCCCTGGGATTTCTAATGACCACAGAGAGTCAGGACCTTGTTTTTCGTCTCATCCGAAGGACAGGATCTTTTTTTTTATGGTATTGTGTCCCTGTCACTATACTGGGGCATTAGGACCCACGTAGACCACAGGATGAGCACCCCCTGCTGGCCCAACTTCTTCCTGCAGCAACCTTAGTTTTCCAAGGAAGTCTCACATGCAGGTGCTGACCAGGCTCAAGCCTGCTTAGCTTCAGTGGGTTGCCACTTGTAAGTTCCAGGGTGATAGGGTTGCTGGCAAATCTTGGCATCTTGTTGAAAAATAATCCTGTTTGTGGTTTTTATAACTTTCAGCAGTTTGTAAATCCTCAGAATCTTATTTTTCTTCAAATTATAAAAAATAGTTGAGAAGAATTTCTAAAAAGTTTGAATCCAGTTTTATTTAATACAGTTTGAAGTGAAAGTTGGAAAATCAAAGAACACCTTTAGATGCAACACAGAGCACAGGTATGTCCTGTATACAGTAGAGTAAGCACCACATTTGCAAGTTTTTGATTTCTGAGGAATGTTTAGTCTTTATTGAGCAGATCAAATTAGAACAAATCTATACAGTGAGGAAGTAATGTGTCTATGCTGGACACTTGGTTATATGCACTGTTTTGTTGAGTATCCAAACATTTACTGAAAACATTAAGAATAAACTGTGCAGTCAAATTCACATACTCTGTGTCAACAAATATATCTTTTTTGACCACCCAAAAAAATTTACAAACATTACATCACTAAAAAACTAATAACAAGCCAACATGTGCATATGTACAAAAGATGTACAAGTAAGGACTTACCACAAAGTACAGTACAACGTACTGCAGACTTATTCAAGACACTACTAGAAGTGGCCAATTAAATATTTGTTCTTTGTTTTAAGGCCAGCATGAAGGAAATGAGACTTTAAAGAAAACACCTCAGCATAGCCTGAATTGGACATGGAAGCCTGTTAATTACACATCCTTCAATTTTTAGAATGAAGCTAATAGTGCAATTTGACCACTTTAAGTTTTACTCTAAGAACTGAGTGGTGAAACTGATTCTACTTATGTTAATGATAAGACATCATGGCAACTGCAGTCTTTGGTACACATAAGTGGACCAGGGTTCGTGGTACACAACACTGAGAGATTGATGTGATTTATTAAGCTTGTGGCCTGAAGCAGCGCAAAATCTCTGAGATAGAAGCTAGTGTTTTTAATCAATAAAATTTTGGTCAGAATTAGTAGGATATTTCTAAAATACGTTCAGTACAACTTTGAAGAATATATTTATTGTGATGTATACTCTTCTTGTGTTGTCTGTACAGTTTAAATTACAATTGTACTGTATATTAATTTAATTTCTACAATTGATGTTTACAGTTGTGAGCTTTCCCTTTCTGTTTAGCTTCAAGCTAAATGAATAATACATTTACAGTACTGCCAACAGGAGTACCACTTTGATTACTGTTAATAGAAATATTTAAAAAAACATGAAAAATGAGTGGAAGCCTTCTACAGTTTTTATGTTTGTTCCATTTTTCAGTCCTTCTAATATGTGACCAACTGTTGAGTATTTTCAAGTGAAGCCTAACCTCCAATGTCTCAATGACAATTCCACAAATAAATATGAGCTGTTGTTCTATTGTGAAAGTGGAAAAAGTTATTTAAAAACATTGTGAAAAGCATCTGTGGGACTGTTCTGGTGTTGATGTGTACATTTAGAATAATATGGATATATAAATGTGTACTATTTAAATATACAAAAACAATTAAAGGGAACATCTCAGCATTTGACTGCCTAATATAGGCTCTATTGAAACCACAACTTCTGTGAAATAAAATGTAATTCTTTTGCTGATTATCATACCTCACACAAAATGTTAACATTTGAAACCCATAATGGGAATAACCATATTTATCATGGTGTTCTGTCAGTTCACATCCTCCCAGAAAATCAGAAATTCATAATCAGTGTTTGAAACTTTCATTCAGAGTTATTGAGACCCATTTATTTAACAATTTCATTCATCTTACCCAATCGACTAAAATGAGCACACTTAAAGTATTTTTTTTTGGCATTATAACTATGATGCTACTTACCATATCTTTACAGATTGGGTAAGTACTGTCAAAGTTCAAGGAAATAATATATTTTGTGTTGTTTGTGACATAAACACATTTCAATGTTATTATGTTTCCAAAATAAAATATTTAAAATGCATTATCATTGAAACACTGTACATTAAATACAAATAAGCTAACTTTTTTGGAGGAATTAATGTTACTTGAGATACAGTATTATAGAGTGTGAGTTATGATGTGCCAGTGTTTACATACAGTAAATGCAAACTATTGAAGAAATTGTATTTTTCCTCACCTCTTATAACAAGAGTTTCCATGTTAGTATTATGTGTACTTAATAGGAAGACCAGATGCATTTGAAGAAGGTATTGTGGCTTCAATACACTTTTTCAATTCATTGCAGTATTTCTACAAAAATAAAGTCATAAAAGATTCTTAGAATGCACCAGCACAGTGAGAATACTGTATAAAGCTAACTAATGTATGCGGATTCAGGAAAATACACTCAAGCAAATTCAATATAGTGTTTTGCACTCTACTGAAGAATAAAACATTTGTAGTTTAGGGTGTACTATATGTTGCAACAAAATGTGAAAATTAAGTAAAAACCAAATGCATTTCTTTGAAATACTATTTTAGGGCTGACATTTTTGGTTGAAAAACATACAGTACATGTTTGTAAATAGTAAACTTAAACTAATGTTTTAAAACTTAAAAAAGTGTTTTTAGTTCTGGAACATTTTAAGGTGTTGGTTTTGGCAAATATGTGAAATGCAAACTAGAAACTGGATTAGATTCCACTGCATAATCAGCAATGTAAAATGGAGATAGATTTGACAAATCAAATACTATTATGTATACACACAGTGAAACCCATTAAAAAAGAACTAGGAATAACACTACTTGTTATTTTATAGACACAACAAGCAGTAGAGTTTAAAGTTTACATATTTGTGTTGCTTATGTCTACTCCATGAATTTGTCTTGTAAGATATTTATCAAGTAGGATAGTATATTAATAAATGGAGCACAACATAGGCAAGACAAGGTTCTTTATATTTAATCTTGCTTAAGACTTGAATGTCTTATCAAATTTACAGGATGTACAGCACAATGCAGCATCTCATTGTGCATTTGTCTTATTATTCTTGGTGCCCTGTTTGGTTATCTCGAAACGTAGAAATGATCTAATCTTGAGTATACGTCAGTTGGTCAGAAATGATTTTATACATGTAAACCACTGGAATTTAGTGCATAGAGCCAAAGAACATCTTTTGAGAATTTACGGAGTTCCTTCTTTTTAAGTATTGGCCTCTTCTCCCTGTGACTAAACAAGGACAAATAATAAAAATAATGTGCTGTCAACAGTCAACTTAGTAACAAACAAAGGAAAGCAAACTGGATATGAAAGTTGACAGGATGTTAGATTAAAAGATTAAAGCAAGGTGTGCCTTGAGTTGTTGCTACAAAGGGCGATTACAGGTTAAGTCACTGAGACCCTTTACGTTAAGTGCTGTTTGGAGTCCACTCTTTTCATTTCCTCAGAAGGTGTAAAATACACAGTCCTTTAACTTGGAAAAGATGACTTGCTGCTGTGGTATAAACTGAGATTCAGCTGCTTTCTTCCTTCTGCTTAAGATCTGAGGCTGTGTAATAAAATATAGAGAGGAGTCTGTGCAGTTTGCTTGGTCTTTGACCATCAGCTTGTTAGGTAGCTGTGCAGCTCTCTGGAGTTTATACTCAGGACCACACCAGAGTGATTACCTGCAATGACAACAGAAACAACTGGCATTTCTTTATGTCACTAAATCTGGATCAATTACTATTAAACTACAATATTTTAAGTTCAAACAATGCATCATAATGTTATTACTTTTGTTAGAGAAATGGGTAGAAAAAACTGACCTTGAAAGTACTGCAACTTATTTTTATCTGTAGGAGTTCCTGGCTTATTCACAAGACTGTATACGATATCTAGCAATATTTACTTCATTCAAATAGAACAGTTAAACTTTCCAATCCCAAAACCATACTGAATACTTTCTAATTGTTTTCTAATTGGATTTCTAGTTCCATTTCCATGTGAGTGTTGCATTGAACATTCCACAATTATCTATCAATACTTAATACTGTAAGTATGTAAAAAAAGCGGTTTTAAACACAAAGGCAAAAAGCTGGATGAAATATTAACTAAGGTTAACTGGTAAAATTAGAACTAAGTATAAATTCTGAAAAACGAATGCCATACTTTTCAATTAGTTGTATAATATGAAAAGACTCAGAGGATAAGTATTGAGAAAGATACTAAAAGTTGGACTACCTCCTGCGTTACCTAGGGTTTGTGAGTCAAGGTCGTCATCAATAAATTCCTCCCCCTGGATGATATTCTGGGTGTCTTCACTGTGATTTACAGGACTGGTCATTTCCTGTTCCTTCTCATTGTGCATCTGGGCATATACATTTCTGCCAGGAAGTTTTCTAAAACAAAGAGTGTGAGACACATATAATGAAGAAAACTCAAAGAATGAAATCCATGGTATCCTGTTAAAAGATCAATCAACCGTGACTCTGTCAACTGCATAATCATCCATCCATTTTCTAGTTGCTTTATCCAATTCAGGGTCACGGGGGAGCCAGATCCTGTCCTGGCAAGCAACTGGGGCAAGGAAGGAAAGCATGGGATGATGTGTAGGAAATTCAGTTCTCAGAAATGTTTGTCCGGAAAAGGAGCACATGTCAAAACTGATAGTCTCATAAACACCTTTTGAATTTGTACAAAATGAAAGCACCAACGGCCACAAGGCTGATCACAAATATCACTGCCAGAGCCCAGACCCCTGGTCCTGCTGTGCCCCTCCCAGAGCCTGGAAAACAAAAAAACAGAATTTATATTCATTAGTCTTCCAGAAAGAGAAACATTGGATATTCTGCAAATTACCGACTATGAAATTGCACCAACTTTGTTGCTTGTTAATATGTTTCTTATATACTTGGTCAATTTCACTTTGAAAAAACAAATACACTGAGGCCTTAGGTTATTTTATTTAACGTATCTTGTATATATCTTGTAACGTATTTTTTTTTAATTTAAGTAGTTTAATAAACTTTATGAACCTAATATTTTTTTATGAAAGCCAGACCACAAGGGTTTGAAACATAGTATTATGTAAAGGGTGATTTTATGTGATGCAATATGTGAGATTAGATCAGAAACTAATAGTTAATCAATAAGAATACTGCAACATTATATTACATGCACATATGCAAGCAGAAAACAAATAACTGTTTAGTTTTGGTATCCCAGAAGTAATGTCATAATGACTTCTTACTCAAATTGACAACAACAAAAAAATGTTTTTTAACCTCTAAAGCGTTCTTTTTAATCACTGAAAAAAAATATTTTGAAAAAGTAGTTGATTGGGTGCTACCGCATGAATTATAGCAATTTTATCTGTGAGTTGTTCTGTAAATTTTGGTTGAAGAACAAATAGGTCTTATAAATATGAAGGGGTCGGCATAAACTGTTCTTCTATTGTAAATCATGTACAGTAGATGGAGAGGTTTTGCAAATACTTCATGTGTTTTTCATGCCAGGCATTTACAGTAGTTCAGTTAAGGGAAGATCATTAATGTTTATATGAGGCAGTTCTAAAACATTTTATTCAGAACAAATTAACTCTTAGAAGTGCCATACGAACAGTGTGTTCTTCCAATATTCACATACAATTAATACATCTATAAAACACTTCATTATCAGGTTCATTCCCACTACTACCCAACATACAGCACACATTTACTTATTACCTGGATCAGGGTCTGCCAGATTTACCAGCACTATCAAGCCTCCTCTCACAATAAAGCTAACGTTGTTCTCATTGAAGGTTTGCTTTATTGTCGCGATTCTCTGAAAAAGAACACGAACGAACACGCAGCTCTAGATTATACGAGAATCCAAATCTGTATTCCCACACCCGCATATGTCTTGACTCACTAATAGTCTTTCTGCTCTGCAAGGCTGATCTCACAGATTTCAGCAATCACCTCAAGTTCTAAGAAACTAAGTATAGTTTATTATAATAAAGTATATTGTCTGCCAACAGTGTTTTCTTCTAGATGGAAAGGTTAACACATAGTAGTACTGTACACACAAGGCAAGATCATACTGGTTTAGGAAGGACATTTTTAAAATACAAGAATTCAACAGGTCAAATTGCAAGTATTTTAGCACTTTAAGATCAGCTTCCATAAATATATACCGTGGTAAGCACAGTTTAAAAATGTAAAAAATTTAAACCGTGGGTACCACTTTACTTATACAATAATGCTATGAATGAGGAAAAATGTCCCTAGTGGCTTCTTGTCTTGAAACTCTTTAATTAATTTAAGGAATTAAAGAAATGTAGCTTTTGGCTGCAGCAATCTGAGGTGAATTGTGTTCAATGAACTACAGCTGTTTCTTTCTGTCTTGCCATGGAAGTGGGTTCAGTGCAAAACACTACCTTATCAACAGGTGCATTTCTCTTGTCGGATTTATTCTCAGGTGGAAGCACATACAGATCAGCTGCTGTTGGGAGGCCAGGCTTCACCATGGTAACCAAGGACTCCTGCGGAATATCTGTGACCTGAAATAAAACAGTATTAACATTTTGTGCAGGGGCTGTGCTTATATTCCAGCACTACTAACCTCTATTATGTACACACTGAATGTAAGAGACCTCAAGGCCATTTCCTAACAGAAAAGCTAATCAGCCATTTCTCTGACTGCCTATACCTACTAGAAATGCATGTCTGATAGAATTGTAACAAATTTCAATTGGCAACAATACAAGCTAAAATTTGTATTGCACCTTTCAAGATTGAAGATTCAAGCTGCTTCAAATGAGTTGAAGAAGAAAATACAAAAATAAAAAAGAATGACAGAAATCAGCAAAGCAATATGTAGGTTAAGAGCACAGTACTGTATGTTTCCTACAACAATACTGCCTGGACTTTAATTTGATCATTTTAATGTGATTATTAACAGAATAAAAAATATTACATAGGATATTACAATGGTATTTCTGGTTCTGAAAGGCATTGATCTAGTCAACACAAGGCACCTTTTCAAAATCAGCAGAAAAATATAGCCTTGGAGGCACTAGTGGAAATGAAATTTTATGCCTATTTAAGGCCAAAACTGAAAACAAACAGACAATTGAAGGACTCTGTAGTACAAACTTCCATGAAATGTGGTTGAACCTGACTCTGTAACCTGACTCTCCTTTAACAAGAAATGCACTGAAATTCTTAAAAACCTTTTCAAATCATTTATTTAATCAGATTTAAATTCTTATATCCAATTACTGACCTGCACCCTGGAATGTGCTGAGGCAATATGAGTGAAATACTGTATTATGTTCAAGCAGCCACATCTCACTTGGGATTTGAACATGACTTTTCACACAATAAAACAAGCAGGATGAGCTCACTCATTTGTAACCTCTCGTATGTTTGTGTAGATTCATGACTCAAGCAGGCTTAGTGTTACAATGTTACATAGGAATTCATATTTAGAATAAGGAAGAAATCCCAGACTAAAAAAATATATTAAACACTTAACAAAATGATTTTAAGATACAGTAGGCCTATTAAGTTCTTTACAAATGGAGTTCTACTCCTCCTACTATGATGCAAGCCATCTTTCTGAGTCTCCCCAGAAGATAATCCTAGTTGTCAATAAATCCAATGTGTTGATTTAGTTATTTGTAGAAATCATTATACTGACAGATCCTACTTCCAACTGAAGACAGAAATAGAGCTTGAAATGATAGCACTTAATCTTTTGAATGAGTGCTTTAAAAGCTGTCTTGAGATTTTCACATCCTTTTAGTTTACATCATTGAATCTGACATGTAAAAATTACTGCAGAGACTTGAGCATTTTGTTGTATTAAATTGTCAATTTAAAATGAATGTCTTTGGGCCCTGGGAAATGTGTAACACTCATTTACTTAACTTTAGTGAATGCTCTGGAAACATGCTTAACAATGGAGTCAACCGTTCATAATGTAACATTTGGGGACTGATGTAAGAGTTTTCATTAAATTGAGAGTCACTCAGTTATCCACTCTCATAAAGTAGAGGGAGAACATGATAATGGAGGTAAAAAATATATTATTGACATAACAGACTTTATGTAATTATATCATGCTGAAGTTGCAAAATGTTCATAAACTTGATTTGAAATATTTCAAATGCTTTATTTTCTCAATCATAATAGTTTGCCTCCTGAAGTTCTATTCCAACAAGGTAATGTCATGTACATCCTTTTCTTTTGGCAGAAAATAGAGTTTCCTCCTCTATCTAATCAGTTAAATCGGTAAAGGTAACTTGATTTCAAAGTTTTGTTGTAAAAGATAACTATACAATTAATTGTGGGAAAAATGAACAACATAGAAATTGTAAAATTTATGAAATCTACAGTAGGTATTACACCCTGAAGATTTTAATAGCAATTCAAAGAAGAGCAGCTGTATTGCAAAAATAATTGACCCTTGTGATTACTTTCAGTAAAAGCTTTCCTTAAACAACAATTTAACAATGATTTTTTTTCAGAATAATACCCAGCACTGAGAGCCAATGAAATAATATTAAATATATTTACACATGTATTATTTCCAATTCTAGTTTTCTTCTCACTGAAATATATAATGATGATGGTAAAGGATGGTACTTCTTTCGTGTACCAAGGTCTACATGCAGAACAAATTGATGACAAATGTAGTACATTTAGTGTATCAGTATACTTCAAATGGACAGCTGCTATTAAGTACAGTACATACAATGCCAAGGAAACGTTTTTGAACTCCCCATTAAATTGATTACAATTTCTAAAGATGATCTCTTCATCAAACCAACCAATCAATCAAATTGATCAAACAAATCAAATCAATCAAACCAATCTTAATCGTCTTAACCAAATAATAACCAAACGTGGTTTTTGAGACACAATGGTGCATGAAGCAGAAACAAATGAAAAATTAACGATTAGTGTATGTGAAATAATAACTGAACCCCTAGTTTGACTAAATTAAGGGGATAATTAGAATCAGATTGTTTAATTTATTTAGTTACAGTACAGCATTTAGAAGGAGTTTGAGTAGCCCTGTTATATAAAATGGTCAGAAATTGAGAGTGTGGTCTTCTCCAATCTGAATACTGGAAATATGCACTCAATCATAAGAGTAGATGATGCTCATCAGTATGGAGAGGGTTACAAAACTAATATGAATAATATGTCCCTTCATCCACCCACTTTCATCCAGATGGTAAACAAATGGAAATTATTCAAGCCCACGGTAACTGTACCCAGAATAAGTCATCCTGCCAAGATCTTCCCAAGAGCAACCTGGAAAAACATCCAGGAAATCACAAACATTACCAGAGTACCATCTAAAGATCTGCAGGCCTTGTTGTCCTTTTTGTGTGTTCATGCCTCAGACATTAGCAAAAGCCTGAACTAGAATGGCTTTCATAGGGGGACAGACAGGAAGAAACCATTGCTTTCTGAAAAGAACATTGCCCCCATCTCAAGTCCAGCAAAAAGGTCCCGTACAATCCCAAAGACAACCGAAACAATGTTCTTTGGAAAGATATGCTGAAAGTTGGCTGTTTTGTCCACAAAGAGAAATATTTTGTATAATAAAAACAAAGGAGCCAGACAGAATCCCATCACTGACAAAACCATGAATTCAGTGTTGTATTACCAGTTCTGGAGAGGAATGTCATGCCATTCCATTCATCAGATGAAGCTGAGCTAAACGTGGGGCAGGCAACAACACAATGACCTTAACTCACAAGCGCTTCTATAACTGGATGGCTGAAAAGGAATACATTTTGCTTTTCAATATGCCCTGTGCTGTAAGTAAGAATGGGTCAAACATCCTCAAAGTGCAAATTTGTAAACAGTTACAAGAATATTACTGAATCTATTGATTTACTTACTTATTTGCATGAGGATATTCAATGTTGGATCATTTTGTTAAGTTTGTGGTTCACAAACCTTTTCTTGGCACTGTAGCATTCTGATATACTGTATACAGTAGCTAGTAAACAGCCACAATTAGGCAAAACATCATTGGTAAGAAAGAAAAATGTACCGTTGCTAGGATTTTTGTAACCACCTGCCCAATATCATCTCTCCATTCTGGAATATTTGGGTTGATAGTGTCCAGAGTTTTGCTGAATTTGAGTGGAATAACCTCAAATTGATCTGAAACAGAGCAAAGACTAGAGTGTGAGGATTAAAGTACATTATGTGAAATTTCAGCAAAGGGTTTTATTTTCAGTTGGATCAATACACAGTTAATATAAAAACCACAATAATGCATACAGTATTCACCTCCTTGGACTTTTTCACATTTTATTGTGTTACAGTATGGAATCAAAATGTATTTAATTGGGATTTTTCACCATTGATTGACACAAAACATTCTATGATGTCAAATTGAAAACAGAGTTCTATAGATCTTCCTGTTAAAAAGTCCAAGTGGGAAAACAGCCCTAGTGCACAGCTATTCATCAGTCTATCTCTTCGTCCCTTCTGGCAGGCAATATATTTTGTCCATGTTTCATTTTGAAATTAATAGAACTGTCATCCTCAAATACAAACATAAACAACAGGACACATTAATGAAATTACCAACATCAGACCTACAAGGGTCTTAAAGCAGCAATACAAGCAGCTTTTCTCTTCTTCACAGAAATCCTTAGATTGTGTGGCAGCAATCAGAAAAAATATAGGAGTAAAAGAAATAAAAGTGCTTTTTTCTATTTTCTGTTTTTAAACCCTCGTCCTCAGGTATTCAGCTGGACAAATCTTTACTCCTTAGAGAGTCCATTAGCAGGTGGAAAATTGAGGAGAAAGGCAATGCAGGATGATTGGCCTTTTGTCAGAAATATGACAAGCACATTTCCTATTGCGTCAGTTGCACAGAAATTCAATAGCATGTGGTAAAGCTTCTTCCTGGATATGAAAAGCAGGCCTATGCGTACTCGTCCAAATAGGAGACATCTAATTTGGGAAACTTTATTAATTGGCTTTATAAAGGACTTCTGCATGCATTACATAGAGTTCAACAAAGTACAGTGCATAAGATTTACAACCAGAGGCACTCCTGGGGTCTGCATGTTACAAGACTGACAGGTTGTTTAGATATGCCTTACCGAATACACAAACTGTTTTGGTGTCCTGGACCATTGAACGTCCATTTGATGCCTGCACAGTGACTGACACATTCCCAGTTTCAGAGAACATGGTTATCAGACTGTTCTCTAAAGTAAGAATAGGCTACAAGAAACACACAGCATAATCAGACGTAGAAGACGACATAAACAATGGTTATAAATTCACAGCTGTTTAATGTTTGACCACTTTCAGTCTATATTTATATTGGTAAAACATTTAAATAATACTTTATTTGAAGCAGTAAAAATGTGAATAATACAGCAGCAATTTGATTTAAAGCAGATTTTACACCAGACTGATTCACTTTGATAATGAACAAAGTTCTAACTTGTCAATTGAGAAAAGGTTTAATCATTGAAAAAGGGTAGAAATTGTTACAGAATTTTCTGGTCCTTGAACCGTAACTAAGTCTTTTATGAATTTGCAATTCTCAGATTAACTAATGGAAGTTGTTAGTGAAAGAAAGTTATCTTACGTTATGACAAATCATGTTTCACATCTGTGAACCACATTGCAAATGAACATCAATGGAACAGGTCCTACAGAGCATTTCTTTATTAATATACAATCTGGAAGTAGATGCTTACTTTAGGTTATGTATTCATGCATCTTTTGTCTTGTTCTGGGTCTAATAACTGTTAAAAACTTGAATTAAAATATAAATCAATTAAATAAAAAATAAACAAATAATCCCTTACATTTTAAAAATGTTATGTATCTCACCATTAAATCTGATGATGATGTTTTTTATTAGCATAGAAATTAACAAGACAAATTGTTCACCAGCAAATACTGTAAATAATTGAAAGAGTGTTGGGTTCGTTATTAGGTGTTGCAATCCACCAGTACTACTCCTTCTACAGTTAATTTTGTGCCTTCCATACAGTATATTGCAATTCTACAATTACGATTGACTTAACCCTGGGTAGGCTGCTGTGCAATAGCTCAAACACAACACAACCCCTACCCTTCTTAAAATGTAAACTTCTTTGTCTGCAACTACTTTTTATGGAGTATATCAGGATTTATAGATTCAATATTTGCATTTAATTTTATGTAATACTTTTGCATGGGTGTTTATTTGGTTAATTATATATGGTTAATATAAAAAAAAAATCATACTGGTTTTAACTGCCTAGCTGGTGTTTATGAAGTGTTGCAAATTGTACCTGCAGGTTATCCCCGATCCACCAATAGAAGACTGTTAAATTTGCAGTTGCAGGAAGGACTGATGCTGTCAGGTTCACCTCCTTGTTCCTTCCGGCAATAGGAACAACTTCTAAATGGACTTCTTGTAGGGGGGCTTCATCCACAGGAAAATTAATAGAAAAAAAGATACATAAATGTCTTTCTCACAAAGTTCCTCAAAATACTGCTGACAAATAATCATTCATAACAGGGTCGTATTGTGAAAAGAGGGTGAGGTCTTTGGGCTCCAGAGTGCCAAAAGGTAAGACAAATTTTAATACAAAAACTGAAATATATACTACAAAACAATTTACAACAGATTTTTGTAGCCAACAAATAGTAGGAAACTGCTCCACCTCAAGGAGTCTGGGAGTGTTTTATTTTCGTTTAAATTTTTTAAAAAATGTTATTAACACTTGGTATAGGCTTGGTGTGACAATTTGGATTATCTAACGGATCAGACAAGGGGAATAGTGAAAAGTTCAGCTGGAATTTTTATCACTTACAGTTGACTTGAATATAGACCACAGCCTCATCATGCCCTGCTGGATTCTCTGCCTTCACTGTGACCCGGTAGATGCCTGGTTTCTCATATCGGTGCTGAATCGGCTCGTCTGTCACAGTCAGGTTTCTGTAGATAGCTCTCACTCCATCACCAAGGTCCACCTGGTACTTCGTATTTGTAGTATCTCCCTATAAGAAAGTAGATCTGTAGTGAGTAACTTCCTTAAATCCATAGAGTTCAAACTTTCTGAACTAGACTGACACCACTTTCAGTACAGCAGTGTTGATTGCCGTTACTTGGTGGTTTCATTCCTTTTACAAAAATATGTTCAAGGAGCAACACTTTCACACTTTATTTTTTAAATACCTTTAAAGGAAACAAAATGACTTTTGATCAGTGTCAGTTTTTGAATCAGTGTGAAATTATTTTTTATTACTTTATGAAATTTCTCACTCAATACTGCCTCTGAAACGTCTGATTTCCTGTTCTTATTTCTCTCTCCGAATGTGCTTAACCACATTGTCCATGCCGGTTCACCTCCCCACTTCAGTTCCATGTTTTTCTTACTATACCTGCTCCTGCCTGACAACGAAGGTGATGTCATCACCAGGACCCACAGCCAGAGACTCGCCCTTGATTCCAAGCTGTAAACCTCTAGGGGGCAGCAAAGGGCAGGTGTGCTGCTTGGAACTCTGCTGTTTGTTGACTCCACCTTCACAGACATTAGACACCACCTTTCTGTAGCTGTAAAGATGAATCAGGCAAGAGCTTACTTCGAGTAAATGACATTTTAATATTTTGTTCACAATTCCTGTAAATGGCTGGTCATTTCCAAATTGATTTAGCATTTGCAGATGTTTTACCGGTAATTAACAATATGAAATGAAGGCATTTTTTAGAGAGGAAACTTTTTTTTTCAGATCCATCCATAAAATACATCCAGATCCATCCATAAAGTACCAGTCTTGGTGTACTGGCATAATTTTATTAAATAAGATTTCAGAAAGGAAGAAAAAACTGTGATTCCCCTCCAAGGAAAAAAAGCATTAAACAACACAACATACTTAACATTTTCATAATCATGAAATTGCAATTTCCAGCTGTTTCTCTCTTCTCTGAATTATAATGAAAAACAAATGTATGTGGTACATCTGTATTGTCTGCAACCCTTGTAAATAGTTCATTATTGCTGAAGTGCAGAACAAACTGTATAGTTACAGTACAACACAGGCATGTTAAGGGCATGTTTCCTTTCCAACTCTTCCCACTCCTGGACCTCGCGTGGGAGTGAGTATTGCTCGGATGCAATTGGAGTGAGCATAATTAATTTTGCATGCATGCTGGTGGTTGGGCATCAACGTATTTAAAAATGCTGCTTTGTGCTTCACTCTGCTTCATTTCTAACAGACTGTGTTTGGAAATTCAGATGTAGCCAAAGTGAGAGAATCCTGTAGATGTGCTGGCCATCATGCTGTTATTTTTCCTTTTGAAAATGTTTTTTCTTCAATTTTTTTTGTTGCATCCTGTCTCCTTGGTGTGATACACAACAATATCCAATTACTTCATCATACAGTATGCTGTTGATATATGAACTGTGGCTGAAAGCTGTTGAAACATGCTTTATTGTTCATACATGTACTGTAAATACTTAGTGGATCCTATTCAAATCAATACTTCATTCCCATGTCAACAAAGTTGATTGGAACTTGTAGCCCGTATAAAAAGAAAAACAACAAAACATACAGTATTACACTTACACAAAAATATATACAGTATTACACATAGACAATACTGTATATATTGTCTACTGTAGACATAATGCCTGGTTGATTTAGGAACATCTACTTTTGAGGCTGTGAGCTCAGGCCAGGACTTGTAGGATACTGAGACATTGTGGCTTATCATGCTGTACAGTATGGGTTGATATCTGTACTAGATAGGTAACACACACTTCTTTAGAGAAATAAAGGCACTTTGTTGTGGAAATTATAATCTCCAATTGCTTAGAGAGGACCCTCCACATCAACTTTAATTTCTCCTATTCTTTTATATCTCTGTAGTTGGATTGTAGTCTTGAAAAGTGATATTCATTACTATGCTGCCTTTGTGACCAGAGTTGTTTTATTTTCTCTTAAATTCACACTATCTCTGAAGCCAGGGAGCCACTGCTATACTTGACAGCCTGAAATATTCTGAGAACAGACACTTCCAGTATCACCACAATCAGGCTGTTGTGTCGGAGTCCTTGGTGTTGGTATTTAGTGGGCAAACCCTACTTTTCTAGGCTTCATGTCTACAGTTTGATGAGGTGAAAAGGACAGATATTGAAGAATGTGCCATGTCACTTCTCTCCTATCTTGGCTCATAAAGGCTGCCATGTTTAAGGTCAAAGAACAAAATGATTGTACTGTATGTGATCTTCATGCACCAAGAAGATGCATCTGTCATATAACACTTAAATCTGCAATTCTCCTCTATTTATACCAGTGGAGTTGGAAACCTAGAGAACAGAAAAATGTGGATAAATCTTTTAGTACTCAAGGCACTTCACAGCATTTCTTTCAGTTTTCAAATGTTTATCCAAATTACAATGTTGGTGTAATGCCAAACTCATTATGAATTACTGTTATTAAGGCGAGTTCTTTTTTTCACTTTCTTGTCAAATGATTAAACAGCTAATTGCAATCCATTTTTTTCATTCTAAGATATAAAAAGCAGTGTGCAATGAATTCAAGCACCACTAGAGACGTGCCATGAAGTGATTCATAAATGGAGAAACTGTCATCTTTTCCTGAGCCAACTCATTGAAGATTCTTTCAAGAACTCACCCAGTGCTGGAGAAAAAGCTCTGCCCTAAAACACAGTCGTAAGGTGGAGAGCTGGGGTCATGCCAGAAATCAGCAAAGCACCTGTCCCCTTCAGACTTCAGGCTAGCGGCCCTTTCAAAGCCATAGTCACTACAAGGACAGAAGGACAACAGCAAATTGACACTGGTCATGGGTGGTCATGGGGCTTAAAAGTTTACATTTAAATATACCTACACTTGAGCAGAACTAGACTCATTGTGGTTTTTTTTTACTGTTTTTTTCTTTCAAAATAATAATGTCAATCTTTTCTATTTATCTTTTCTAACATTACTGCATTAATTAGAAATGAACATTACAATTATTCCCGTGCCACCGTATGGTATAAAGCGGTTCTGCAAATGACATTACAATTATTAATATTCAGAAATAGATCCAAAAGTTTTTTGTACAGAAAAAGAATGGGTGTTTTCTGTGATGATAAAACAGTAGACAGAGCATCCAGAGAGTGTTGTTATTCCAGACGAATGCAGATCTTGCGTTCTCTTTGTACTTCACTGGCTGTTTTCATGAAGAAGAACAACACACTCTCTGTAGTGTCCAGATATTTTAGTACCTCCTAATCACTCAGCTTTGTACTAAAGAATGTGAAAAAACAAGCACAGAATATCAATACTAATTTAACATTAGTACAGAATGTTTTATGACACAGTGGTCAGTAATTCTTCAATATAAGGTGTAAGACATATGAATATTCTCCTCCAAAGAACTATACAATACTGTATATTTAAATTACCTGAGGACTGATCTTCTTTTCTATTATATAATTTTTTGGCACAAATAGTACTCATAGTACTATTATTTCAGTACTATTATGCAGTTATTTCAGGAAAAAAACACTTTGCTTTTACAAGACATGTTTTCAAAAGCAGGGGGATTAGTTTTACCAATTAAAATCCTTTTCCGTGCATTGGCAGGGTTTGGATGTTAGAACAGACGTGAAGCTCTTTCCCTTGATACAATATGATGAGTCTTTTCTCTTTCGATAACTTCTCTCTTGCCCCATGATACACATCTCTCCCTGAAAAGATTAAAAAAAAAAACTTTTATTTTTAAGAGTTTGACTTGATTGGAACATTGTGTTAATTGATCACTGTTTTGCTTTGGTCAGCTTCTGTGAATCTCAATATTTTATCTGTTTCTGCTTGAAATTTGTGATCACACTGATTATTCAGATAAAAACAGAACTATTATTCCATTTTTATGACAAAATTATGAATGTCTGTATTATTTATGTCTTTGATGCAAACTGGATGGACAAATTAAACATAAATCAGCACTAACTCATTTGCCTTCGTTTAATAGCCTGTTATTAGCAGTACCTCACACACGCACATACTGTATTCACACCAGGGCCAATTCTCTCAGATGCCAATTAACCTACCAGAATGTCGTTAGGCTCGATCATTGTAATTACATTTAAAACAACACTGAAAATAAATATAAGAAAGAAAAATCCTGTAAGGTCATCCATAAGGTCAAAGTTAGCTAAACAGGCACAGGCCTTGTGAGAAAAGCTTTAATATGATATGAAAAAAAAGACAAGAAATAAAAAAAGTTACAGTGTAAATAAGAGGAAGCCATTCGGCCCATATAGACAGTTGGTACTGTAGTTAGAAGTTAGTTGATCTAAGAATCTCATCCAGCTGTGAAGGAAACCAGTGTATTGGCTTCAACAACATGGCTGGATAGCTTATTTCCCAACTCCCACAACCCTTTGTCTATAGAATTCCCTCCGGCTCTCAGTTATTAAATGCTTTTTGACAGTTTCTACTCCTGTCAGTGCAGGTCACTCCATTAAGCTCTGGAATGTATCTGTGTGCTCTTATCTGGATTAATTCCAGAGCAGCAATATCTTTTCTATAACATGGTGACCAAAATATTCTTGAATACAATTTTAACATCACATAACGTGATTTAAATTCTACAGTGTGTTTGTTTAACTATATATCGTAGTGTTTTGCTTGTCTTTGTATCGCTTCCCCATAATATCTAGAAGATAATGGATAGAATCACTTTTGCTAGCACTAGGTGTTCTATTACAACAACAGTTAATCCAGATTTGTGAAACTACTTTGCTCTTACCATTGGAGATTTCTGAATTTTACCATATAAAGTACACACATTTAAGAGTATTAAGATTAATTTGCTGGGGGTATATTAAGGTTAATATTAATATTATGGTACAGAAAAACACAAATATGACTTTACTTGACATGAAACTCTGGACTACAGACACAACCCTTAATTAGGAAGATGCACAGTGTTTACCTGCAAATTTGTTAGCTTCCAAGGATCATAGTCTGCCTCAGTACACTGCCTGGGAAAAGACTGGCGGAAATCCACCTTCACCAGCTCCCAGTCTGACCGATAACTCATATGGCCAAAGACCCTGTAATAAGAAGACAAAAAAAAATAGCATAGCAGGAAATGCAGGTTATATTTTTCTCAGAAAAGCAGTGGAAGATACTTGTTTCTTGGACCCTACATTCGACACAATTTGTTTTACTGGAATTCTACAGAATTTCCTTTCTAGAAGAGAATATTAAGGCTGTCTTCAGGAGGAGTCAACATGCAGTGATTTACGGTGCGTGCCTTGTTGTAATTCTGTCACTAGGTGGAGACATTTACTTGACTAAAAATCTTGCAAGACTGCCATAAATCCGGCATTGAACAAAGTAAGATTTCTTATATTAAAAAGCTTTACATCTGACGTCCAGTCCATTTTATGTCTAACATTTTAATGTTTGTGAAGATCTAAAAGTGTTCTCCGGACATCGTAGGTGCAGACCTTTGTTTCTGCCCGCTTTCATTTTATACGAACCATTACCCAGTCAAGGTAAAAGGTATACTATTAAATTTCAGACTTCACGAACGTTTATCTGTCAAACTGTACAGACGCGCTGGCAAAAACTTCAAAGGGAAATACTGATAGAAAATGTTAGAATTGAAACAATAATAATAAAAAAAACAATTGTCGTCCTGTTTTGACGTAGCTGGCATTTTCTATCTTCGAAATCATTAGTTCCTGCTCTCAAAAAGCTTCTATGTGGATTCTTCCTTATGCTCAGAATACAAAACTTTCCTAGTTATTGTTTATGTTTCAGTATTGTACAACGTAATACAATTAGTGTGCACAGTAGGTGCGCATGCTGCACACTTACATTTAACATTAATATCACACAATGCATTAAATACAAAATCTTATGATCTGTTTATGCAGTCATCTGAATTATCTGAATGCAATATTCTTTTTTTTGCTGCTGCTGCTAAAAGAATAATAAATAATTTTGCTGTGTTTACAGGAAACCAAACTACTTGCTGATAATTTTCTGATAGAGTACTAAAATCTAACAAATTGTCACCTGATGTAAGGATCCACATGCTGTTCTACTGTGGAAGCACATTCAAATGCAACAAATTCTGTTGGTTCCAATAGCCATATTTTTAATAGCTCTGCGAAAATTAGGATATGCAAGAACACATCCTTCAATCTGTGTGATATGGCCTTTAGAATCTCCTTGAAAACCTAACTCTCTAGAGAGACTGAGGGAACCTAATTCTATGTCTTCAAATTACTTTGCTTTTGTTCACATTCAAAATTATGTCATCAGGTCTCCATCAGTCATTTTCTTTTTCTCTTACGGTACAGACAGTGAGAGTGCCACAATTTCTGACCCCAATTAGATCCCTCAGACTTTATTAAAAAGAACAGAAAATTGCTTTACTGTTACAGCCAACCCTCTGTGCATATCTCAGCTCTTTTGGAAATAATAAAAAAAAAAGATTCTACAAGCTCATTTAGAATGCAAAGTTTATGGGAAGATGTAATGTGACCTTCTTTTCTGGCTTGTTTCTTAAAAATAGTGGAAGACAGCAAGGCAGGCTGTTACACACAGTAATATCCCGTTTCAAAGGAGCTCAAATGCATATACTGTAGTAAATAATGCAGTGTAGACAGGTGTAATAAACTCACGTCATGACAAGGGTTTCATCTCCAGGTTCACTAAGAAGACCATCCACAAATACTGAAGTGCTGGTGAAGTTGTGGGTAGTCCATGTACGCCCTTCATCTATGCTGAACCTTTAAGGATTCAAACATTAATAAGTCACTTGTAAAACATAAAATACACGAAAACAGATTTCAACAAGTATCCTACTTGTACAAGTCTATGTATGTGGTCTTAAAAAAATCAAACAGGACTTCATCAGATTTGTGTAATAAAATGTACAACATAAATTTAGTTCCAATCTAACAAGCAGTTAAAGGCTACAAGTTAAGTTATTACCAACAGTAGAGTAAGTGTAGGGGCAATTGTTCTTTGTAAAATTAATTGGTATTATGGATAATGCTTGCTTCAATATTTTAGAAAATAACATACAGTAAGAGCAAGCATGACAATGACTCTGCTGGTAATTTCAAGATTCAATGCTGATTCTCCAGCCAATAGTGAGTGGGTAGGAGGTAAATTTAGCGGCATTAAAAGCTCAGTGTGTTTTCAGTAGACATATTATATAATATTATAGCACACTGGGGGAAATGTCAGAACCATATGACTTTGCTAGAAAGAGTTCTCAATTAGAAGCTGTTTTAAATTAATAAGAAAATGAAAGGTCCTTTTAAAATTTTGCATCATAAATATAGGATGACCAACCTCATATTTAATGTACAACTTTAATATCTAAGAGACTCTGCCAGTAACATGGGGAGGAGAATAATTCACAAACACTGCTTCAACTAATAAGCCTTAGGTCAATGTGTTAACATGATGCCTAGCCTACAATAATATTTTCACCAATTACTGGTTTGTAAGAAATATTAAGAACAGTGAGAATATGTGAGCATCGCAGAAGTGCACACACACCAGGGAGATCTGCTAATAAACCTCCCTGGAATATCTAACATCTTATGATGATGGTTTTATGAAATGTTAGAGATTAGAGGTCTGTCCCTAAGCTCAGATGCTGAAAAGCCAAGTACTTAAAATAGAATCACTGATGCCCTGTAGTCACTGAAAGTTTGGTTTTAGACTGGAAGTCCAGGAGTTCAGTAACACAAAGCTGCCAAACTTACCCTGTGTTTCAGAACTGAGTTGCAAATACCAGAGGCTCATCTTAGTAGAAAAAATATTTGAAAGGAATGCTGTTTTCTAAAGGCATTCACGTTCCTCATAAAATGCTTATACAGGTACTATTGACAATATTCTGAAAAATTGTGAGTACGAATGATGGCTGTAACAATCATTGCAATGCTTCCAAAGCGATTTTTATATTTGATAACCCTCCTCAGACAAAGGAAGCATAAAGGTGAACTTGTGGCTTTATAACGCTTGACTGTTGACCATTTTAATTGTTTGCTGAGAATTTTGTAAAATAATTGAACTGATGTTCTGGACTTAATATCGCTTCCTGACAAATAAAGCACATTGCTTCGTGTGACTATTTCCTACAAACTTGTAAGGGTGTCAATTTCCTGAAGAGCACAGAATGACCGTAAACATAATGAAACCATTACCTGAGTATTTTGAGTGGGATGGAGCTGTCCCTAATGGCTATTATGACTCCTCCATGATCAAGATACAGAATATGGTGTTCCTCCTCAAAAACCTGCAATAATAGTAATGAAAACCTGGAAAAAGCAGTTTTAAAGGCTTCCAAGCACGTCCCCACTCATATGCACAGTGTGCGCAAACTACAGATGAGGGGAAACTACGATGATACTAACAAAACAACAAAACATTCATAAAGTAGAGTTGTTGACAGGGTCTCCATTTCTCGCAACAAAAAGATGATGAGAAATAATAGGTGTAAAACATGTTGCTTCGACATTCTGAAGCCAGGGTTTAGTGTGATAAAACCTTGGAACTAACTGACCAGACCATCTGGGAAGAAGAACAGCTAGCATTCCGGGATGTGTTTGCCAAGTAGGAAATAACTCAGTATGGGTGTATAAAGTATCACTTCATCCTGTGAGGTACAGGGAATGATGAAACCTGAGAAGTTTCCTGGCAATTAGTGCAGTGGTTTCAAGGCCATAGTTTGAAGCTGCATTTTGGCAAGCAGTTGGTGTCCCATTGTGGGCAAGAAAATTATCATAGCAATTTGTTAAGTGCAAATTGGAAGCAGTACTGGATGAATCACAAAGTTTGAATCACAAAGTTTTAATTTAATCTGTGCTGCAGTTCTCAAGACAGTGGCTATTTGATCACAGTGTCTGTTGTGAGGCCATCTTGGGATATGCATGAATTACTTTGTCAGATGTTAATACCATGCAATGTAGAATAATGTCACAAAGTGAAAGAAATGATGAACAGGCAGACATTGTGGTGTATGCAGGGTCCTCATTTTCACATACATTCATACTGCTGTTACTACAACCTTACTTGCAAGGCTTCTCACAGTTATATACAGGTCAGGCAGGTCTACTGGGCGAAACTCGGCACTACCTGGCCAAACAAATGTGTTAACGCTGACAAAAGGTGCCCAAGGATTTGTAATAAAATATAGTTGTGTAGTAACACAGCGCATGATCATTTGGCTTTTCAAGGAGAAAAAAGACTTACTCCCTCAATGAGCGCAAAAATAATAAACAATGCCTCAACGGAAAAAAAGAACATAATGATGGATTAATGCACAAAGAAATACCAAGTAGAAATACGTTTCAAGCATAAAACTCTTCCTCAGGCAGCGTCTACATGGGTAGCCTTCCACAGGTAGCCTACTTCTTCGATGAACCATATAAAATCAAACCAGCTGTTGTGGTCATAACATTTTATTCAGGATAATATTGTTTAGTTACAATAATAAAGTAGTACATAGTACAGTAATCTAGTGTTGGATAACTACTGTAGGTGTTGGGGATGCTAATGTTAATGTGCCCCTTTGTCAACTGCAGGACATTACCACCAAGCTTTTTCTTGTGAGAAACCCTACCTTGTAAAGTTTGAAGGTACTTGGCCTTGCAGGTTTTGAACAGAAATACTATAGTTTGTGTGATGGGTCCTAATTCTAAGAATGGATTGAGACCTGGTTTGGGCATACAAATCATCAAACAGCTTTTCAGCAACTCAAAAGCTCTAGCTGATAATGAAATCTGCCATGTTTCTATTAGTGCTTTCAAATATGTACTGTAGGTCAGGCTATTACTTCAGTTGATGTAGGACCTCCACTTGTGTAAAAAATGTAGTGGTTCATCTGTTCCAATATAGCTGCCTAGTTTGAAGTTTTTGTCTGGTCTGTGAACACAAGCAGTTTCAAAAATGATTAAATTAAAAAAGAAAACCTTACAATCACCATAGGCTTATACTACTTGAAAGCCTAATTAAACATATTGGAAGCAAGTTCAGCAGAAAAATCTGTAAGAAAAACCCATCAGTTATGTAAAGTAAACACATAAAACTATCGATTCAACAGTAAATATAGATTTTTTTCTCTGAAAGTTTAAAATAAAGCAAAGAGAATGCAGAATTTATTAAAGTCTCTAGTGTTAAAAATGCAATGAATAAAGTGTTGACTTTCCACATCTTGGTTCTTAAAGTTGGCTAGCACTACCTCTTCCCAATCTACTTTATTATAAATCCAATTTACACATTTGAGGAACCGTGTATTAAGAGGAGCTGACCTGACGTGAGCCTGCCTTGTACTGCAAACATAAAAGCAGTGACTCAAAGAAGCATTAAGTGTAACAGATATTATACATATTTGGTTTGGACAGCTCTCCAATTTTTAAAAATATATTCTACTAATTTAAAAGTATCGGTCATTAAAATATTCAAATGTCTATGATAAAACATCTTTAAAAAAATGGAAGCTGTTGTCAAACATGCTGTATTTCACTTCTGTAGCCCAGTCATCCATTGGCCATATATAGTTAAAGCTCCTCCAAGGATGGTTTTCAGTACAGCAGCTACACACTGTAGCTACACCTCCTATGATCCTGGCGCTTAGTGGGCAAGACATATTTCAAAACACAGGTACAGCAGATGCAGACATGGGGCCAGATTGTTTGGGTGCTCTTTTTTAAAATAAAATTGTAACTGACAACTTTCATAACCTCTCAGTTTGGAATTGCCAGTGGTTTATTGCTCAGCTGTGGGGCTCTACAACTACTGTACAACCTCTGTATCACACATGGAGAATGTATGCCTATGTCCAAAGCATTTATCATTTGAGACAGCTTCTTTCAGGAGGGCTAGAGCCTGTCCTCCTTGATCTGGAACTAATGTCTCCAAAAGTGGCATCACGGGTCTAAGCAGTACCTTTTGTGTTGAAAACCAAAAGCCCTCTGGCCAACATAAGTCCTTCCAGTCCTAGTAGCACTTAAACATTTCGTCACTGCCAAACTGCTCAGATTTTCTAACTAGGCTGCTATTTTCTTGCTTGTGTATTCATCACTGTTTTATACATAATTACATGTGCAGGGCTTATTGCAGCACAACACATTTGTCATAATTTCAGCAGTTCTGCTCTAAAAAACATGTTGAAAAGAGTAACTAGATTTATTAAAATTAAAGAAAATAAAGGCTGTATATAACCCAAAGCTTTCTCTTGAGAGAAGTGACATATAAATGTTTGAAGTGTCACTGTAGACTGCAGAATTAATTATGTTAAACATCTAGATTTTGTTATATTCTGCACTTGAGCCTTACAATTATTCCTGCTTTTCAGTGAACTACTGTATATTTGATTTAAACACAATCCATGCTAAACAAATGTCCACAGATGATTGGACTGACTTGGTTCTCTTTTGTTCTGAAGAGCAGCCACAGACCTGTGGGATATTTTCAAACACAAGGCAGGGAGGACTGAATCTTTATACTGGCACTGTCAATAGGTCACCAAGAAGTGTGATGCAGCAGGGATGTACAGTAGGGCAAACACAGCTCCTTCTACTCCTCTTTCATTTTCTCACATAATGTATTGTAGGTATGTGAGTGAGCTACTGTCTCTGTAATATTGTGCTTGGATGTGTGTGCATCCACGTTAAAACTGACCCCTGTCCCCTTCTCAGATTTATCCACACTTCACCCTCTCTCTGTTTGAGTAGGTGATAAAAAACAGCTTTCTGCATTTTGCTGAGAGTTTGGTCTCTAACACTCCACTCCTTTGTGTAGAAGCAGTCTGTTTGCTATTCAGGAAAGCAAAAGATTCTTCTTTCTTCTTGTTAGCTTTGAAATAAAAAAAAACTACGAAAGCTTTCAGTTAGCACCTCTGTTAATATTGTTAATTTCCCTGCCTTACATTTTCCTGCTTCTTCTTGCTTATAGATTGAGTTCCATTGCTTTGGCTCTATCCCCTCTGCTAATTTAGTCTGTTCTTAGTTATTTTTTACTTTCTTCATTATTAATTTATTTGGCTGACACTTTGATTAGAAAGTTCACATTACATGTGTACCATCTCATGCGGCAGCTGACTGCAGCAATCTGAATGAAGATTACCTTGGTAAATAACCATTCTATAATACAGCACCTGGAATTTGAATCTAAAACCTAAAAAGTCCAGAGGTTTAAACACATTTTCACGTTTCTCAAAGACATCAACTCTCTTTTCCCCAGATGTATGTCTCTACCTTTTCTCCTTTTTTGTGTTGTCTGTCTTATTCTCTGGCTACTCTTGCCACCATTCTGTCTTTCATTTCTTAACTTTTCTTTACCTTTGACAGCCCTGAGAACACGGAGGACTATCCGTGATAGAAAAAAAGACACCAATACTTTGCATATTAGCCTTGCCTTTCTGCGACTTCTATCTTTATTTGGCCTTGCAGCACATACTGTTGGTGCCCCTGAACACACCTATGCCTCTCTGCCTCTGTGTACTCCCCATGCACATACACCTATGAACCTATATATCTTACAGATCTTTTTTCTCCATGGTCATGTCCATGTTACCTACAGGTACAGTATGTGTTGCAGGACAAGACTAGTATTTTTTACACCTTACATACAGTATTGCTACATTAGCTGTTACTTATCTGCTTTGGGCACTCTAAGGTCTCTCTGTTACTGCTTTGCACCTGAGTACACCAGACCTACCCCCCCATTGGAAGTGGACTTGATTTCACAGACATTCTCGCTCTGTAGAGGCCACTGACACTGGACTAGAACCTGGAACAGTTGATTACTTTTCATCTAATAAATAACTTGAATAAGAGCTTCCCAATGCCAGACCAATGGACTATGCTCTCTGGTCTAGATGCTCACTCAATAAAGGCCTCTACCACTACAACCACTACTAAATGACTACCACTACAGGTATAGCCATCTCGTATCCCAGAGGCCACTAATGATAGCTGTCTTCATAGCCCTATCCCCAGACACTTGGCTTCAGTACTCTAGAATGGTGATCCATCCTCCTTCATTGGCCTCAGATGACGACTAGCATCTACAGTAAGCACATTGTGTGGTTTTGTGGATTAATAATTTTCTTGTAAAGCATAGTACCGGTATCCAGACAGTCATTGGAGGACAAAAAAAATAATATACCTGTCTCCAAGATTTCCCACAGTCTGAAGTAATATACATTTCTTCCTTATACCCCACCAACTGGGAGCCTAAGTTGCCTGCAAAAAATGTAAGGACAAATGCAATGAACATACATGGACAGATAAACTACAGACAGCTTGGAAAAACAGAAGCAATGCACAGTCAAATATATTACATTACAGATAATGTTGCTGTTGAATTTCTAAAAGGAAGCGCCGCATTCACTGTACATTTGAAAAGTGATGTTGACAGCTGCAAGCCTTTGATACAGTACCTATGGTGCTGTTATTAATAGCACAGTCTGTGAATCTCGTTCCACTCAGCAAATGTACAGCTTTAGAGTTGTAAAGTAAGGGATGCAGAAAAGTTGAGGTTTTACAAAAGAAAAAGAATACCCAAATGTATTTTCCCTGAGGTGGTCAGTTGAAGTGCAGTGTTGCACTGACATTATACAAGTCAGAGTTTAGCTGCTCAAATGGAACCCGCTGGCAGTAGCTTGTGTTTATCATGCGTGATGTATACTTCATCAGATCTTCTTTTTTATCAGTTGAATTAAATAAGCTACAATGCTAGGTCATGACAATACTACAAGTACTGTATACAGCATGATAAAATATCCATTTTATAACAAATATTGTTTTCTTAACTGTTTAATCTAATACAAGGTCACAAGGGCACAAGTCAGGATACACCCAAAACAGGATAATTCCTTACACTTATATAGCGCTTTTCTGGACACTTGCGATTTACAGGTAATGGGGACTCCTCCACCACCACCAATGTGCAGCCCCACCTGGATGATGCAACGGCAGCCATAGTGCGCCAGAATGCTCCCCACACATCAGCTATCAATGTGGGGGAGAACAGAGTGATGAAGCCAATTCATAGATGGGGTTTATTAGGAGGCGAGAATTGGTAACATTTCTAATGGACAATTTGGCCTGGACGAGAGGGTAACACCCCTACTCTTTTTGTGAAACACCCTGGGATTTTTAATGACCACAGAGTGTCAGGACCTCGGTTTTACATCTCATCCAAAGGATGGTGCCTTTTTACAGTATAGTGTCCCATTCACTATACTGGGGCATTAGGACCCACATAGACTGCAGGATGAATGCCCTCTACTGGTCCTTATAACACCTCTTTCAGCAGCAGGAGTCTCCCATCCAGGTACTGACCAGGCTCATACCTACTTTGCTTCAGTGGGTTGCTAGTGGTGAGCTACAGGGTGATATATCTGCTGGCCTAAGCCCATGCAAGTCCATCACAACAATACCAGGCCTTGCTTAGCTTTGTGATCTGATCAGATCATGTTACAAGATAATGCTGCTTTAAATTTTGCTTGGAGCATGCTGTCCTACTGGGAATGGTGTTACATTGCTCTTCACTAAAGTAAAGTAAAGCTTTAGGAAGCTTTACTTCACTAGCTTCCTAAAACATATTTGTAAACTTGTAACTTACGTGTGTTAAACAGGAAAAAAATCACTTCCAAATGATTAGTGATTTCTGCTTGAACATGACCATGTCCAGATGGCACTGAGTGGCGTTTTAGTAAATGATTTTTTCTTTTTTATGGCCTTTATCAATGCATTTACATTTTAATATACTGTAATATCTGCTATAATATTGTCAAAAGTCTTAGACATCTTAGATCAAGAATTACAACATAGGTACAGTATGTAAATGGCATTAACAGTTTACTCAAAATCTATTAGTATTTTCTACTATTATAATTAGTTTGTTGTTAATACACCTCAATCTGTATAAGAAGAAACCAAGCTTGTTATTGAGCAGTTTTAAATTCACATACAGTACATAATAATTTTTGAAAACATGATCAGTAAGTACAATATAAAGGAAGTTACACATGAGCATTCAATATGATATATATGAAATTTACTGGTCAAATCGGACAGAATGGCAGGTGTTCTGTGTTATCAACGCTATTTCTTCTTTGTACATGTCCTAGAAGCTAAACTACTACATTCTAAAGACCAATGTAAACAATTTATGTGCTGTTTGTGAATTTCTATGATAAATAAATACAATAAATTATCATCAATTCTTCATCACTGAGGTCTGATATCCTTAATAAATCCAATACACTTAATAACACACATCTGTAAGCAAGATAAGTGGGACACTGGCATTTATCTGAGTAATTTATGCTGTTCAATCATACAAGTCATCCAAGAAAAAAGAAAGCTGATTTTGACTTTCTCAGTATAAAAATGTGCTATGAGCTTAAAATAATGTTGTCACTGATGCTTTCTGAGAGAGATGAAGACAGCAGAAAAAAACAAAATGCAGAACTCAAAAAACAAGAGCCATTATCAGTGCAACAATGAAAGGGGATTCATCCTTCTTATTGTTTATTCTTGCTCAGCTCTGCATTATGCCAAGCTGCCTAGAAAGCTTGTGTCTTATTATGCATGCTATGCTGTCCTTTTAATACTATCAAAACAAAGGATAATGGAAGAATGAAAATGTCATGTGTTTAATCCTCTTCACTGAGGTCACTAAGCTCATTTAAACCAAAAGTCTAATAGATTGAGGGTATTCCCTGCTGGGTATGTATGCTATTGTGTTTACAGGCTCTTGGACATATTTTGGATGTAAGGGGTCTCATTAGGGCTAGCTCCATTAAACTGCTATTTCTACATAAAGACAAAATGCGCTCCTTTACAAAAAAGAAAGACATTAAAGCAGCTCAGAACTGACTACACAACGTAATATTCACCATTGTCTGTAGTTTTGCATAAATCAATATTCATAAATATTGTTATAAATACAATTATTCTCTGGAAATATACAAAAGTTTAGAAAGGGCTTTCAGTTTAATATGATTATTATATACTCTGCCACAGAGAAAGCATGGATTTGATGTTAGCTTCAGGTGTGCTTTACTATAAGTATATTTTACGTTTTAGTCCACAGAATGAGCAGTGTTCTTGGTAGTAATTTCTATATCATTACATTATTTTAATGACTTATTAATTTGACATTTCTCAAATAATGACGATGAACATGATCGCCATATTCATTGGCATCACCTTATGCTACACAAAAAAATGTTCTCTTTAAAAAATGTTCTTGTTTAAGTGTCTAGGCTCACATTAAATTTGCAGAACATGCCATGTACTATACTGTATGTACTTCAAATCATCAATCACTCACTCACTGATGCAAATCAGAGAAGAGAGGAGAGCACTTTACAGTTTGTAAGCATCTTGCAATATTTAAAATCCATAAATCCACTCATCCATTATAAGAGATCCTCTTATTCCTGGTAAGGGCCATGCCAACTCTGGGAGGGACAGCCTTGCAGGGCACACATGTAAACACCCTAGAGATAGCAATCAGCAACCTAGTCAGAGAAGTCTTGAAAGGTTGTAGGAAACCTAGCAAAACCCCATGTAACTAGAGGAGTCCTCTACAGGGAAGGTACCCTGATCCAGAGCTGAACCCAGGACCTAAGAACTGTAACGTAACAGTTCTAATTATGACATCATTTGATTAATGCCATGAATGTTTAAGAAATTAAAGCTTATTATTAGCTTGAGTGTTTTTAGCACTACGGTTTAACTTACAATGTAACTGAATGTTTTCTATTTATTCTTTCTACTTTGAAGCATTTCCAGGGAGTCATCATTTCATTTGCCAAACCGTTTTTTACCATAAGGTGTTGTGGGAAGCCTGAGCCTACCCGGTAAGCAACAAGCACAAGGCAGAGTTCACCCTGGATGGGGCGCCAGTCCATTGCAGGGCAAGTGCAAGCCAATCATACATGGGGACAATCTGGAGGCCACGGTAAAGGAGAGTGATGAAGCCAATTTCTAGAGAGGAATTATTAGGAGGCCATGACTGGTAAAGACCGATGGGAAATTTGGTCCGGACACCGGGATACTCTCCCTACTATTGAGAAATGCCCGGGGATCTTTAGTGACCACTGAGAGTCAGGAAGTTGGTTTAACATCTCCTCCGAAATACAGCACCCACTACAGTATAGTGTCCCTGCCACTATAATGGGGCAGTAGGACCCTCACAGACTGCAGGGTGGGAGTTGTAATGGACCACATCAAATAGATCAAACACTTACCAGCTCCCATGATTAGTCCAGGTGCAGAGTCCTTGGTGTGCACTGTTCCAGACACATAAGGGTTGTCTGCCCAGCGCAGGTGAAGGTGGAGGTGACAGTCTGGCTTTAATGTACAAGAACACCAAAAAAAAACAGCGTCAATCACTGAAGGTGCCCTTATGAGCTGATAACACAATATTGTATTAACTTCAGCCAATTCTGAAGCCAATTGGGTGGTGTGGTGGCTCTGTGGCTAAGGATCTGTGCATGTGGCTGGAAGGTTGCAGGTTCATATCCTGTGGCTGTCAGAGAAATCCTTCCGTGTTGGGCCCCTGAACAAGGCCCTTAACCCCAATTGCTCCAGAGGCGCTGTACAATGGCTGACCCTGCGCTCTGATCCCAGGCTTCTCTCCCTGTCTGTGTGTCTCACAGAGAATAAGTCTGGGGTATGTGAAAAGACAAATTCCTAATACAATAAATTATATATGGCCAATAAAGTGATGTTATCTAATCTTCTCCACAAAGCATGAGTTCAAGATCAGGCAAGTTTTCTAAGGAATTTCCTTCTAATATGTCTTCTAATCATGTCTAATAAGCACAGTTTTTGGAAAAGGCATTTGCGTGAATGGAAACCAATTAACTTCCTTTCCACTGGTTTGAGATCCTTCCAGTCTTTATCTTTTGTTTTGCTGTGTTGTGTAGCGTTTAATGTAAATGAGCTTGTTGGACCCTTGCACTCAATTGATTCAAGAAGCTCTTCAGTTTGTCACCTGCAATTAGCTCAACCAGCTAGACTGGTACCTGTAAGTAACACTAAGTAATAAATCTACAAGAAAAGCAATTTAAACCTATTTTGCTGCACAATTAAGTAGTTTATATTGCAGTGAAAAATATAATTAAAACCATTAATCTTCATTCCCTGCGGACTTACATTTTGCAGTGTTTTGGTAACTTTTAACTCTTGCTTTAGTTCCACTATGTTACAGGAAACCTATGCAGGTACTTCAATAAGTACGGCAATTACAATGATACCAAAAAACATACAAACAAATTTGGAACAAAAGATCCTGTCAAGTCATTGCTCATTTAACGTCAATCTTTCCATCTCAACTTTGAGATATTTTTTCCTGTAACATGAAGAAAACAGTGCCAAAGAAAATATATTGAGCCTGTGTTTTCTGTCTCACCATGTTTTCTTACTATGAAAGATGGAAAATAAGTCCATTCAGTAATATACTAATGTACTGTGCTTTCATATGCTACCAAAGGGCTGTTTCCCAATTGAATGTTATTATTATTCTTGCTGTGCAAATTTGAATATATTATCATTTGACATCTTTAAGATTTGACACTGAAGTTTGTTTGTGAACAATATTACAGTACATATACAGTAATAATAATTCCTAACACTTATAAAGAGCTTTACAGGTACTGGGGACTCCCACCACCACCCATGTGCAGCCCCACCTGGATGATGTGACAGCAGCCATAGTGCTCCAGTACGCTCACCACACACTAGTTTGAATGGGTAGTCACAGGCGCAGATCCTTAGCCACAGAGCCAGTCTTAATAAAAAATTGTCTCAGCATGACTAATACTCTATTCTAGCTAGTAGAATTAAGGCAGCACTTAGTAATCCCTGACTTTAGGAGTTGCAATTATTATCTTTTTGTAATTTGCTTGCATGTCAAGGTGGTGTCAGGACCTATTATTTGATGTGATAGAATATGTATTTTACACTTTTACCATCCCCAGGTTTGTTACCATAATATCTAAAACTTTAATTACAAGAGATAAATAGCCTGTGAAACCCTTATAAAAATACATAGGGGCTATGAGTAGCTTGGGAGGTTTTGCATTGTTTAGAAGTAGCTCTCAATAATGAAAAGATGAAGTCTGTTTCTAGATGTTTCCCATAATTGTGCTGGGTATACAGTATTTTAGTTCATGATTAATGGTTCTTTTAGCCCAGTTTGGTCAGAATTAGTTACATTCAGGTGGAGAGGGTACGTGGCAGAAGCCAGGTAGGGGAGCTGTGGTGGCAGAGCATTGGCCACTACATCCTTGTCAGAGTAACCAGGAGACAGCATTGGATGGTATGAAACAGTCTTATATCTGTGTATTTTTCCATTCTGGCATGCACTAAGGCATGTGAACATGAGTTTGCCCCAATGTGGGTGTTTTGTGAGTGTAATATTTTGAATATTTATTTTAGTTTGTTATTTTTACTCAGGGGTTGTGAGGGTCACAGGCAAATGATTTTATTTCACTTTATACATACATTTGTGCATGTATAAAGCTGCTCTCTCTCATGTTTCAAATGAACTGTGGGCAGGCACTTACTTACTTCTTATGTGAAGTGTCCACCGTTTGCTTCTGAACACCAGAGTTCCACAACCATTTTCTCAACGTCTGGCAGTAACACTGCCTTAGCTTGCCCGAGGCAGAAGTTTATTGTTTTGAGAGTGATTGATGTGTCTGTCTGACATGATAATTTTATCAATGCTAGTTAGGCTTCCAGGCAGTGACTGGAAGTGACTCCTCCCACAAAGGAGCAGTGACAAGTCTGAAGCAAATTTGAGAATACGGAAGAGATTGCTCCATTGGAGAAATTATATTAATTATATTAATAATAATACGTTTATAGAGCACATTTCTGGACACTCCACTCAAAGAGCTTTACAGGTAATGAGGACTCCCCCCCACACCTCACTAATGTGCAGCACCTCAGTGGGGAGGGGAACAGAGTGATGAAGTCAATATATAGAGGGGAATTATTAGGAGGCCATGATTGGTAAAGACCAATGGGAAATTTGGCCAAGACACCAGGGTTAACACCCCTACTCTTTTCAAGAAACCCCCTGGGATTTTTAATCACAACAGAAAGTCAGGACCTTGGTTTTACTTCTAATGCGAAGGACAACACCTTTTTTTACAGTATAGTGTCCCACTCACTATACTGAGACATTAGGACCCACACAGACTGCAGAGTGAGCGCCCCCTAACACCTCTTCCAGCAGCAACTTAGTTTTTCCCAGGAGGTCTCTCATCCAGGTATTGACCAGGCTCACACCTGCTTAGTTTCAATGGGCTGCCAGAGATATGGCTGCAGGGTGATATACTTGACCTTTGTCCTTTACTTCCTTTTTCTCTGTTACTCTCATTGTCCAGCCAACCCGTACTCCAACCCAATCAATCACTGTGCAATTCAAGTTATTGGATATGATCTAAGAAAATGAGGAGTCCAAAATACATAAATATATGATTGTTTCCTCATTATAAATATAATACAATATAATCCTTGTACTAAGGAAGAAATCATCAATCCAAAAGAGAAACAATGTGAATTTGGCATGATTGCATAAAAAGATCAAGAGAGAGCTGCAAGCATTACTTCTTATTAAAAACAGCACATGGAAGAAATCCATCTGATTTTAAGCTAAAAGCTGGGTTGGGAAATGTAAATGGCATACAAATACTTGACAGAATCCAGTTATTCTTCACTCATGGTAAAGCAGGAATATACAGACTATGTAAATGAAAGTTTAAAATGGTAGGTGACCACCGATTTCTGGATTTAATCAGATTCATACTGTTCAAGTTTTAAACAGTGCAAGATGCCGACAACAGCTAAACCATAATTCCCATGAATTATTCCTATGGTGCCTTGAAAAAGATTTAACCAATACCAATAATGTCACATTTTTTATGTACTGTGGCATGTATATACATTTTGTTTACAAATGAAGGTTGTTGTTTTTTTTTTACTTGTTCTGACAAGTATGATAATCGATGGACTGGAATCCTCAAGTCTTGCCATAAATTTTCCTTCTGGATTCGAGTCAGGACTTTGATTGGGCTGTGAGGAAATTCGCTCTTCTTGTCAAACCACTTCAGCGTGGCTTGGCTTCATTGGGCTTTGGGTCATTGTCCTGATATGAACCTCCAATCCAGTTTTAGATTCTTGGCGGACTCAGGCCGATTTTGTCTAGCATTCCATTCGTACAGAGCACTCGCTCTTTTTCTCTCAGTACTGGCAAGCTATCAGTCCTTGCTGATAACATGATGTTAACATCACCTTGAGTGTTCTTTAGGATGGAGCTTTCTAGGTTGTGTGCTGTGTTGGACTTCTGCCAGTCTTCAATTTAGACTACAGTTGTTGGTTTTAGACCATTTTTGTCTCACATGGCCAAACAACCTTTCAGCACACGTTTCAGTATGATTTACATGCTTTGTAAAAAAATGTTTTGTTTTCAGTTAATGCCCTCTTTTTTTACTTCTTGCTCATGCATGCCAGCTTAGTATAGGAACTCGGATGTTGCTGATATATGAACACTGACTCTAATCTCAGATACAGAAAATCTTGCAAAGTCACTCTTGGGTTCACACTGGCATCCCTAATCAATTTCCTGCTTGTTCAGCTGTACATTTTGGAAGGATGATCTGCTCTTCAGGTTAGTGCCATACAAATTCTCTTCTCAATGATGAGCACTGACTTTTGATCACAGACAAATCGCCTGAGCTGTGCTTCTTTATCACATCTCTGACTTTAAAAAGCTTTATAGTTGGTGTGTTGTATCACTGTGTTATTGGTGGCATAATAATAATAATAATAATAATAATATTACTTTATTAACCCTATACAATTTCTTGCATTTGGAATTTGTCTTTTCACATACCCCAGCTTGCTCTCCATGAGATACACATATAGGGAGAGAGCCTGGGGTCAGAGCACAGGGTCAGCCATTGTACAGTACCCCTGGAGCAGCTGGGGTTAAGAGCCTTGCTCAGGGGCCCAGTGGAGTCAGATTCCTCTGACAGCTGCAGGATTTGAACCAGCAATCTTCCAGCCACAGGCACAGATCATTAGCCACAGAGCCACCCCTGCACCCCGCATGAAATTCTGAAGTCATTGACCACTTTCATTACAAATAGCGACATAACATTAATTTTATAAATAATAATTACAATTGCTTACACTTATAAAGTGCTTTTCTGGACACTCCACTCAAAGTGCTTTACATGTAATGGGGACTCCCCTCCACCACCAAATGACTTGGCAAAACTATTCTTATGCATCTCAATTGATTTGAGATCACCATTGTAAAGGGGTTGAAGACTAATGCAACCAAGATTTTTTTCCAATTTCTTATGAAGATCTAACTTTACATACTATCTCTGTTTTTTAGATTTATCAGTGTGGAGTTGATTGTGAAGGCTATATAATGTATATAATCCTATCTGAAAGTGCCATGATTGCAAATTCATACCATACCGGTTTGCAGTTGACAGGCTTGCTGTTCATGTCTACTGCAGGGGGAATGAGGTAGTCCCAGTCTCGACCTTTGTTGTAAGTGATGACAGTTGTTACCTTCCCATCCACTTTCCGATTAGCCAGGAACACCCCTTTAATTCCACGAACCTTAAAATCAGATCAATGAATTCAGTAAAGAATTTGCAAAAACTAGGGATGACATAAGAAATATTTATAATAATCAGATATACTGTACAGTCTTACACCTTGTTACTGCATACTGTATACATAATACATCAGTTGTACATTATATCAGAACACAAATGGAAAACAGAACATATACCCAAACATATTTACCTCAGTGGCAATTACTATAAGAGTTTGTCACTCTTTTTTTCCTGGCTATATGTATTTTACTGAGATTAAATTTAAATCCAACACATGCTTGTGTGTGCAACCAGAAAAAAAAATCAAACTGATTTACCCATTTAATAATGAGTGCATTGAGTTCTTAGCATTAGGTATTTTAGAGTGGTAACCCAACTCAGTCGCTGTACAGCTTTTCTAACATAAACGTCTAACATGACACCAGTAGAAGCATACTAGTTTCGATTAACTCCTATTACCCTGAGTCCTGACTCTAAAGAAGTCCTTTGTGACTAATAACAGACAGTCCTGTTTCAGATGTCTCTGGTTTCTTCCAGTGCTTTCTCTGGTTTCTCACTGCTGTCTGACCCTGAACAAGATAGCTTTCTTGCACAGACATCACAGGAATGTGACTGAAGGGGTGCAGACATACCCATTGTCAGCCAGATACTTGCATGTTGAAGAACACATGCTTCACTGTATGTTTGTTATGAAAATAGTCATTACCTGTACTTGGCACCAATGAAAAAACAGTATAAACGCCTACCACATACACCAACTTGATGCAATATAATAAATGACTCATAAATGCTGTAAGATTCAGGCAGGCATACTTAGATTAAATGCAAAAGTGTAAAGCAACATTAGCTAGTTTAACAATTTAATATCATAGTATTAAATCAATTTTAAAACTCCCTTGATAAAAACTGGCAAAGAAGGAAAGAGAAAACCATTCAGACAGAAGCATTCTCTTTGTCATCTCTTCAGTCATTTTCATACCTCCAGCGGAGGATTGTGCTTCTGACAATACTTAACCAACCTGCACATTAGTAGAAGTAGTCACATATTTCACAAAAATGCAAATGCAGTGTGTAACGTGGAAAGACAGATATAAATTAGACTTAAAAACTACATGGAAATGCTTTAATCAGTCAACAGCATTACAAGCAAAACAATGTGCTTAATCACTAGGCAGTTACATTTATCAAATCCAAAAGTGGGGAAATGCTTACTTTATATGCTTACTTAATAATAGAAATGTCAATGTTCTTTTGTTTTGCTGTTGAGGCAAAGAATGTGAAGAACGTAAATAATTAGTGTTTGAAACAGTCTTTATCAAATAAATGTAGAAAGTTCAGGAGATCAGCAAATATATAAAGCCTATCAATAAAATATCGGATCACACTTATTTGTGATTTAATTCAATACAAGCCAGGAAGTTCTGCATCAGAAATTCACTGTTGATGCACATTGCAGCAAAACTGTTTTTATTTTGCCATATCTTAAATCTGTATATATCTTGTTCAGTATCATCACATCATTAGCATTACCTGATCTAATATGTCTAGTAAGGCTTTAATGTGGTATTCCAAAATTCATCACACACACTATACTAACAATAAAGCTATCATTTTAATGACTTCATTAATTTAATTTGACTATATTTGATAAAAAAAAGCTACTTGATGAAGAAACAAAATTACTTCCACTTTAAAAAAAAACGTTTTTATTATGCATATTATGCAAAACATTAGATTCGGAGACTGCACATTGCTTTCACATTAACTTAAATAACGTTGTTTTATTTGCTTCTTCAGTGGAATGTGGTCACTGTTCAAAAATAAAGCTAAAGAAAAAAAATATTTTTCCTTGCTGCACACCCCCATGTAATTTCCGACTAAAACTAGAGATTCCAGTGGGAAACTAATAATGTCTAATACTAGGTTTTCATGTTTAACTAATACTTATACAAATGTAGTTTTTCCTGAAAATAAAATTCTCCACATACCATTGTGAGTGAATTAAAACTCTGCTTTGGTGATGGTCATTCAAACACTGTATTTAAGATATTGAATTCCTTACAAAAATGTAGTCCTTGTGTTAACCCTTTTGAAAGACACAGTTGTAGCTGTGCTTTGCTGTGAGTTATCTGTCCTTTACTGCAGTTGAATCTGCTATTATCACCTCATACAGTACAACCATGAGCTTTCATAAGAGTAGACTCGATGAGTGCACTCATTAATCATAATTGTAACATTTTCTTTAATAGCTGGCTCACTAGCATTATGCATCTTTCAGCAATTCATCTGTTCGTTTAAAACCAAGCATATATGCCATTTGCACATTAGTTGAATCTCCTCTCTACATGCATTGTTATCTTATTATATTCACTTTACAGGTTCCACAGAAATACAATGGTACTGACACTTAATCCAAAATATATTCTTGCCATACTTCTCAGTTACAAAGTAATTAGCAAATCTAGACACAGAAGAAGAGAAAGAGCATGAAAGATCTGCAAACTACTAAGGAGTGGTTCTGAATAACCAACCTTTGTAAAGAAATTACATTTAAAGCACTTTCATAATAAGGCTAAAGAAGAAAAAACTTTGCTAATAATAGCTCAACATGACACTGTGCTCTGGTCTCTTGTACAATGAGTATAATGTTCTGCTGTATAAATGGGTGCACATTTATGCTGCTTTGAATAAAAGAATCAGTCACATAATTATTATTAATAATATAATTATCATAGAACTAATTCTTGTTGGATAGGACAAAAATGTCAAAGTTGAATGATTTTGTACTAATTATTTAATTTGTTCTAGTTTAGTTGGAAACTGGATAAATTATGCCTTACATCCAATAGTTTAATCAGAACTTCCCCCCATGCTGTGACGTTGCTGTGATGGGGAGGTTTGTGAGCCTCTAAGACCCGATAGCTATGCCAGTGACCTCTGACTTGGTTTCAGGTGCGTTGCCAGACAAAATGCCAGCAATCTGGTCATTCAGTTTGGGGATAGGCATAGCCCTAACAATGCTATCCCATACAACATTGACTGCTAGTGAAACTACATTGAGTAATATTAACATGTGGCTCTTAATAGACTTCACCCATCTCAGTCATTCAGGTGGCAGTATGACCAACCCTGATGAAAGCCAGTCGGAATTCAGGGGTCCGATGGCGTGTCTATTGGAGCCTATAAACAAGATTTTATGGAGCATAAATGGAGCTTGGAGCATGGAATGTCTGAACCATGTATGAGACTTCCAAGACAACACAGGTCCTTAGTGAGATGAAGACATACCAAAAGACACTTATCCCTAGAGATAATGGGGATAACTGAATAGCCCTGGACTGGCTCTGGACATGTTGTGAAGAATTATTGGACCCTTATCTTCTACTAAGGCCACCTGAACACACACGGCACAGCCGCCAATCTTTCCAAAGGAAAAGCCAAATCCTTCATGGAATAGGAATAGTGAGTGGTAGGATGATAAGGTTGTTCGTCAGTTCAAACTTCTGCAAACTCACTATCCTGCAAGGCAATGGACCAACTAAGGAGGCTGATGAAGGAGACACAGATACTTTGCATGCCCAACTCCAAATGGCTGTTTCCAAGTTACCAAAGCAAGACATGCTCCTGATAATTAGAGATTATCAAAGCAGGACCTGACAACACAAACTGATGTGACTAATGGATGTGGTGAAAGAATGATAGAGACTGTCTTATTGACTTTTGTATGAACAACAACGTTGTTATGGGTGGCACTATTTTCCCTCATAAGAACATTCATAAACTCATGTGGAAGTCACCTGATGGTAAAACCACCAACCAAACAGAACACATCAACATTAATGGACAGTGGCACGGGTCACTACATGAAGTTAGAGCATACCATGTTGCAGATCCTTGTAGCAAATACCATCTAATTGCTGCCACCAGCAAGCTCAGTCCAAAGATGATAATAACACAAGGCCAGCATCAAAAACAACTGGACATCTCAAAACTCAAATGCCCAAAGAAGAAAAGGGAAATTGTGTTGGTGCTTAGAACCAATATGAATGTATTGTATGCTGTCACCGAAAGAGAGGAAGAGTCTAACATGAACACACAATGGGAAGCCATAAAGACCACATACAGTATGTAGAACAAGTACAGAAGATACTAGGTTTTAACTTGAGAGGTCCTAAAGAATGGATAATACCTGACACATGACAGAAAATTGAGGAGAGAAAAAGAATTAACACTACTTAACACCATGTTCCCAAGACTTCAAGAGCACAGATAGTCTATAAAAGCAAGGATAGTGAACTAAAGAGAAGCTCCAGGAGAGACAAGAGCACCAGAACTGAAAATCTGATAACCAAAGATGAGAAGGCTGCAACTCTGGAAGAACTTGGCGCAGTATATAAGATCACCAAGCATCTCTGCGGCAAAAATACAAACATAGCATCCCCCATAAGAAGCAAGATTTTTTTTTAATTCTTAAAACTCCTGTGTAGCTAAAGTAGTAAAAGTAAAACTAATTTAGCATCCTGTTGTTTGGTCCCTGCACTTCAGACATTGCTCATTTGTGACGGGGCTACTGCATATCACTGCCTGAAAACTACACCCATCCTTGCGTTGTCATACAAGTGTGACCACTTTAGGTATCTAGAAGCCTCTGAACTTGCAGTGCTGTGAATAACAAACATATCACTCTTCCACTCAATGTTGGTTCTCCTGTTGATGCTGTAGGGCTCACAGGTCACAAGACTGGTTACAAGAAAAAAAACATTCCTTCTGACACACGTGGCAGTCAATAGCTAATTCCTTTGAGGATTTCATCCAGCTGATAAAATTCTGGTTTCTATTACTCCACAGGTGCAAGGCATGATATTCCCTGGACACAGAGCAAACACAAGACACATACTATACACACTCACTCCTAGGGCCAGTTTCCCCATAGTTCTATTAACCTACCAGTATGTGTTTGGACTGTCAGAGTAAACCAACGCACCTGGAGGGAACCCATATGAACATAGGGAGAACTTACAAACTCCTCGGCTCCAGAACTGAGCCCTGGGCTCCAGTGCTCCAGTGCTGTAAGACAGCAATTTAAATCACTGTGGCACACTGGCCTGAATGGAAAATATTTGGCCTCAATGGTACAACAGCAGTGCCTCCTGCTGGGATCTGAACTTGCAAACTTTCAGTTCTGAGACCACAGGCCTAAGCATATCTTCATATTTCTCAGAGACTTCTCAGGAAAAAGAGTAGACGACTCTAGCAGAAGTATAATTTGGAGGAAACTACACATTATCCTCAAATGCCCCATGCTGGCATGAGAATTGATGTTAAAATGCCAATTTGATTAACAGTTGGCAGCATATCAGTGAGGCACAGGAAGTAAATTTGTAATGTCATTGTCTTAATAAAATGACGTTTTGACAAACTACAGACAAGCTCCTTTGGGGTATGACTTTAGTGGTGCATAATTAGAACAAACTATTAGAAAATATAAACACAAGAAGAAGTCATCCAGCTTCTTTGGTTGCTAAGAACTTATTGGTCTTATACAGATATTTCTCTAATGATTATACAGAGAAACAGCCAGGGATTTCAAAACCCCAAGACTCTCTGCAGAAAGAACTCTTTCCTGTATTCTGTCCTGGTTGATAGTAAACCTATTTTTTGTAAACCTGGGTCTTTATACAAATTGTCATTTGAGAAAGAGTGTGGATTGCATATCAAAGTGTCATTCAACCTTAGTCATCTAAGCTATCAATGAAAGGAATTACATAAAACACAGCTAGGTGAATGGCAGCAAACACTGTACCTCTAAAATATCAATTAGAACATTTTCTTCCGGCTGCTTGGTGCTCCTGACGTTCTCAAGCACAATGGAGTAATAGACACCTTGTGGGTCTGATTGGTAGAGGTTGTAAGTGTCGGTCTGGTACCACTCCTGAAGAGCAAGAAACACCTGGTTCTCGTCTGTACTGATGATCTGCACATCCTGACAAAAGGGAAAAGACGGCAAAAGTTAGTAGGCAATGATGATCAAAAGCGAAAGAAGATTTTGAATGTACTTTGATGCATTTTTTTATTATAATCTTGTACAAATTAGGGTATCTTATTTGCATATATGAATCTATATTGCACTGATCTGTATTGTATTTCTGATTAATATAAATTTTACTGGCATATCATTGTGCTCCTCTGTATTGTATTTTTTAACCTCTGTGAGTCAGCATGGATAAGGACTTCGACTACACATACTGCAGAAATAGCAATAGCAATAAATAATGTTAATAACTTGCAGACTTGATGGATTAGCATCCTTACAATCCAATAGCCCTTGTGGTAGGCTAGCAGTCTAAAAGTACTATTTTTTAGATTAATTTTGTACTCCAAGCCTACAATTTTGTTCTCATTTGTTGCATTCCTTTCAAACCAGAAAATGTTGAGGTTTAGAGCAGTGTTTAAAAAAATTCAGTAAAAAGGCGTGCCCCAAACTTTTTTAGTTCAGTAAATTTCTAGCATTTTTACCAATGACACAATGCTTTTTCACACAACAGGCCTGGAAACAAATAAGGAATACTGGTAGTCTGAACAATGTAACAATATAAATGAATTAATTAATTAAAAAATCATCCAAAAGTAAACATATACTGTACAGTATAGTATTATGGATCTCATTTGGAATTGCAGCACCTTGCAAAATTATTATATTGACCCTTATACTGTATGCTTTTCATATTCTGTTGCTCTTAAGCTTGCAGTCATGACACTTTGAAGCAGCAATTAATATTTGTAATTTACAGAAACTACTTCACATTTCCATACCAAACACAAAAAGAAAGAAGCAAACAGATAATTCATATGAAAGAAAAATGGGAAAGACATGATAGTGTAAGTATTTGAAGCCTTTACTGTGGCAAACCTTAATCATTTGAGATACACAAAATTACCTTAATGAGCCACACAATTAATTGAATCTCATTTGTCTGTGTACAATAACAGTGGCTGACATGATATCAGAACAAATACAGTACACCCGTCTCTGTACGGTCCCTCAGATGAGTAGTACATTTGAGCAAGGATTAAAAACATAAAAAACATGGGATAAAAGTTATGTAAATGCACAAATAGAAGAAGGGTAAGTTGGGTTGAAAGACAACCTAGACACTGCCCAGATCAGGCACTTGCTCCAAACTGAACGTCAGAGCAAGGAACAAACTGGTTAGAGATGTTACTGTGAGGTCAATGGCTACTTTAGAAGAGTTACAGAGTTGAATAGTTCAGATGGTAGAAAATGTCCATGAGCAATGAGACAATATCCCAGTCACTCCACAAAGTGGGGCTGTATGGAACTGAAAAAAATTCAAATCTAGGATCACAAAGTGATACTGCAAACATGTGGTAAAAGTTTTTGTGGGATGACCAAATTGGATCTTTTTGATCTTAATGCAAAGAGTTAAGTCTGACGCAAACCCCACATCAGTCAACTCAATCCCTACTATCAAGCATGGTGCTGCTGCCAACATTTTTTTATATTTCTGCTTCTTATCAGCAGGTGCTGGGAAGGTTGCCATAACTGATAGGAACAAATATGGAGCAAAGTACTGGCTAATCTCAGAACAAAACCTGCTTCAGACCAAAGTCAAGAGGAAATGGGCAACCACTGCGCCAAGCCAGTGTATAGAGCTGGAAAGACATGTACCAGCTCACACAGATGTTGAGTTGTAATTGCTGGCAAAGGTGTTTCCACCAAATATCACATTCACAGGTCTGAATACTGCTACAATGAACATATTTCAGTTGTTTCCTAATATTTACTGTAACATTTCATACCCTTAGAAATCTTTGGTTTTGAACATTCTTGTTCATTATTCATATTTTCAGATTTTGTCCATGAATAAAATATTAGTGTTAAAAATGGGTATCCAATGGGTAGACCACAGGAACAGTCTAACAACTTTTTCAAGTCATTGTATCTAATCAATAACTAAAACACAATTTTAATGTTTTATACTATATATTCATACATCTTTGTTTTAAACATCTGTTGCTTGGGTATTGGTTCCCCAAAAAGACATATTTTATATTCCATTTTGCTACTATACCTCCAGATCTAACAAAATAAGGGCATGGAGGTTATTAAAATATAATTGTCTGAGAACATCACACCTGAAATACTGTAATACACATTTCAGTAAGTATTTTCCATTAGAATTCAAATAGAGACATCAGAACTGGAAAGCATAAGCAATTACTCTGCATGAGTGAGCATTGCTTGTGTCAGCTAAATTTTAAGCAGATAGATTTAATTACATTTACATTTAATAAAGCCCGTTGTTCAAGAAAGAACACCACACAATGGGGGCTAATTCAAAGGCCTTCCATTTGTGTAATTTGATTTCTTTCAACTACTAGACATTTTTGGTGCAGAAAGGCACAGTCTGAATTTCTTTTCCAAAAAACAATTGATTTGATTGCAAACTACCAATATAATTACATTACCTGGTACTTTACATTTTCAGCTTTAAAATTTAATTAAAGAAAATCAATATACTCATTGTATGTTGGCACTTGCAAATTCGTATTAACTTACCTTTTATAAAAATGTAATTTTGTCTGGTTTACTAATACTGCCCTACAGCCTTTAACTCCAGAGATCTGCATGGGTACGCAGGTCCTACTAATCTAAACATAATCATCTAATTTGTGCATTTAACTGTCTCATTAGAAAATTCCCCTCTATTTCCATGAACATGGAAATTGTATGTATTGCACTGATAGTTGTAACCTACTACTGTACACTGTATGTGTGTATCTTTTTCCTTGCTACTTTGAAATCAAGTGCTACATAAGGTTTTATCAGAACACGATTTTTAGCCTTGAACAATCTAGAAAATTAAATTTAATTAAGCAGTCTTTTTTCTATGTTGTTACTAGGTTTGAAGCTGAATGCAATTTGAAATGAGAGTATGTAAAATGATAAAGTTGCAGTCAATCAATTTAAATAGCAAAGCATTTATTATTGCGATATTAGCTAAATACCTTGCTCAAGGGAGCTGTAGCAGTATCAGTTACTGTCAAAAATGGCACATCCATTAATAATGTTAAAAAGCTGATGATAGTTGAAACATTTTGACAGAAATTTAGCTAAAGGAGATTTTTTTTTTAGAAATAGCCTGAACAGGAAATGCTTAATAAATGTAAGACTTTAAATTATTTAAAGAAACACACATACACCCACAAAGTGCTTACAATCCAAATACAGTATAATAACATGCACAGAAAAGCAAAGGCTAATTGCTCCCTAAATGAAATTATCAAAGTTGTACAACAGACTAATTTCTTAAAGATTAGTCATTAGTTTGATGCTGAGGTTATGTGAAGGGCTTTAGGCTGGAGCACTGAATTATAAGGCTGTGAAAGATGCACAACCCTAGTTATGACAAACTTCTTCCTTGATCAAAAACCTATCCAATGGCAATTAAAATTTGTTCTTCAAGCATGAATAAGATAGCAATAGTACAACAAGTTCCATTTTATACAAGAAAAGGGTGGATATTTGAGTAGTATACAGTATTGCTCAAATATACAGTACATATATTGTAGTGTATGCCCCTATTGTATATCCAGGATAGGCAATATAATTTTAAATATATTATGATGGTATCTTATACCATGCAATTACACATGACTTCTCCAACCTTGGTCCGTTTAGGCTTATCAACCACCTGTTTCTAAAGTTCAAGAACACAAATCAATTAAGTAAATCATCTGTTTGATTAAGAGAACTGATCCATGAGGAATGAAAGCTCTTTAGATCTCGAAATTATAAATAACTAGTTCCAAGCATTTAAATATAGTGGTTACTACAGAATTAGAGATCTTCAGGATATGCAATAGAGACTCTTGCATTACATTTACTTAAATCCACTTCAGCCTTTTAATATGTCTAATGATATATATAAGTTGATATATAAGTTTTGGTTATTTCATGGTTTGACTTTACATTTAGAACAAAAATGATGAAGAGAGTTGGGGGCTTATATGTTTTTACAGTTCAGTTTGATACACATTTTATTGTTTCATAGCATGACAAAGTTGTTAGCTATAGGTTAGCTATACACTTTTTTAACTAATCATTCTTTAAGTACAATGATGTAAAACAAGATGATAATAATAATAAAATAAAAACGTTGTTTTACATAGCACCTTCAAAGAGCTTTACAGAATGACAACAACAACAGCAACAAAAATAAGATGCACACAATGAAAATGCACAATGAGAGGAGACAGGAGATGGAGATACTTAATATGGTAGGAGAAAAGGGTATTATAACAAAACCAGTTAAGCAAAAGTCCTTCTAAAGAAGGTTGTGAGTCTAGATTTTAAAGCCTTTAGGGAAGGTGACACTCTTATATCTATCCTTAGGGACAGAGTTCCTGAGCTTTGGGGCATAACAGAAGAAGGCCCAGTCACCCATAGAGTGTAGACGGGCTTAGTGAACAGACAGGAGATCAGAATTCAAAGAGCAAAGGTTGCGAGGTGGGGAGTAGGATGATAGTAGTTCAGAGAGGTACTGAGGTGCCAAGCCATGCAGAGCCTTTTAGCTGAGCAAGAGGATTTTGAAGTCGACACGAAACCTGACAAGAAGCCAGTGCTCCAGTATAGGAGTAAGGTGATCACTTGCACTAGACCTGATCAGGATTCTGGCTGCCAAATGTTGGACATGCTGGAGTTTGTTCAATGTGGATTTAGAAACCTCAGAGAGTAGAGCGTTACAGTAGTCAATTTGGGAGAGGACAAATGTGTTGACCAGCTTTTCAGCCAAAGTTAGCTGTAACATAGGACAAAGTCTGGCAATATTTCTGAGGTGAAAGAATGATGTTTTGACAACATGTTGCACATGTGGGTCGAATGTCAAGCCTGAAGCAAATATGACCCCCACGTTTTTCAATTTTGACTAAAGCTCAATTACAGTACATTTTAGATTAAGA